GGAATAAGTAGCATGGGGTAACACTTTCCAGCAAAGTGCTTTTAACGTTTCGTTGACAGATTTTGCGACGTGAGGCCGAGCGTTGTCATGAAGCAAATCATGCTGTCTCCTTTCATATTCTCGTCGTTTTTCGTGCAATGCTCGGCTCAAACGGATCATTTGTTCTCTGTAGAGATCCCTTGTGACTGTTTGGCCACTTTTCAACAGCTCGTGGTACAGCACACTCTTCTGATCCCACCAAATACAGAGCATTGCCTTCTTTCCGTGGATATTCCGCTTTGACGTCGATGTTGAGAGTTGGCCGGGATCGCAAATAGTTTTTCGACGTTTGGGATTGTCAAAATAAATCCATTTTTCATCCCCAGTGATGATACGATGTGAAAACCCCTTTCTTTGTTGCCTAGCAAGCAGAATTTCGCAGGTGGTTTTTCGCCTTTCAATGTCTCTTGGCTTCAGTTCATATGGGACCCATTTTCCTTTCTTGTAAACCTTTCCTAAGGCTTTCAAACGACCGGAAATGACAGATTGAGCACAATTTAATGCTTCTGCAAGTTGCTTTTGTGTTTGACATGGATCTTTGTCCACCAATACCTGCAATTCTTTGTCTTCAAATACTCTTGGCCGTCCAAGCCGCTGTTTGCCCTCTACATCAAAATCACCACTTTTAAAGGGTCGAAACATTCTCTGCATGTTTTATCGGAAGGAGCATTATCACCATAAACTTCTACAAGCATTCGATGAGCTTCAGCTGCAGTTTTCTTCCACTTGAAGCAAAAGATTAATACTTCGCGCAAATGACGCTTATTTGACTCAAATTTCGACATTTTCGATGCAGTAAAAAACAATGTTATTGATGCAAACGTATACCTTTATGTGCTGAATGTTATTGACAGATGTCAAAACAAACCATTAAGCTTCGTTTAGACATTAGAGGTTAACGACAGTTTCAGCTATAGCTACACTGCAAACCCGAGTGTGTTATTTTGACACGTATAAGCTGAAGCTTTCTTCACGCGTTTCTTGTTGTCTGAAATCACGTCATTTGATGCATTTCGATATCACTTAACGCGTTTAAACGCGTTAAACGACGTGATTTAAGACGACAAGATATGCGTAAAGGAAGCTTCAGCTTATACGCGTCAAAATAACACACTCGTGTTTGCAGTGTACTTGCCGCTAGATGAACGGAACTTTCCGATTTACCTAATATATTGTCCTTTTCGTTCGATGGCTTTCTGCCATCTTTCGATAAGCTTCATGATCCCGAAAAACTTCCTATCTGTATTAGCGAAGAACTGAACCAAGTGCCTTTCGATAGCGTCGATCTGAAGCGAACGTTTTTCCACTGAAGGAGTTTTGCAAGAACCGAAACAAATGGTAGTCTGATGCTGCAAGGTCTGGCGAATACGGTGGATGAGGCAATACATCTCAACCAAGCTCTAACAATTTTTCGCGAGTCATCAAACTTGTGTGTGGTTGAGCGTTGTCATGATGGAAGACCACTTCTTTGCGATTTATCAATTCTGGCCGCTTTTCTGCTATTGATTCGTTCAATCTGTGGAGCTGTTAACAGTGCCCGTCCGAATTGATCGTAACATTCCTTGATAAGAGCTCGAAAAACACCACATCCTTCCAATCTCACCAGATTGAAAGTATCATCTTTCTCCGGTGGATGTCTACTTTTGATGTGCTTTGAGCCGGCTCATCGCGCTTGCTCCACGATCGTTTTCGCTTCACATTGTTGTAGACAATCTATTTTTCATCGCTAGTAATCATGCGTTTCAGAAATGGGTCGGATTCACGTTTCGGAAGTTGATCGCAGATGTCTGTACTTCTTTCAGTTCATGCGGGACCCAAACGAGCTTACTAACGCAATCGAGCTGTTTCAAATGAAGGTATACGCTTCCAATCGGTATTTTTAGTGCTTCAGCGAGCTCACGAATGGTAGAACGTCGATTAGCTTCAACTAATGCCTTTATTTTATCATCATCAATCTCCGATGGTCGACCTGAGCGAGGTGCATCTTTTACGCTGTAGTCACCAGAACGGAAACGAGCAAACCAATATTGACACAGGCGTTCTTTTACGGCTTCGTCACCTTCGTGAACTTTACGCAACTTTTCACAAGCCTGCACAGCGTTCTTTCCTTTTTGGAAGTAATAAAGTAAAACTTGGCGAAGATGTTCATGCTGACTCTCCAAAACGTAATAGAAAGTATAATTGTTGATCGATTCGCGCACATTTTCCTTGATGGAAGTTGTAAGTGTCAGTTGTCAAACGCGCATGGGCTCATAAATTTATAGATTCGTCCAGTACATTAAATATACAATTAAAGCCATCTATCGGAAATAAAAGCACAGACTTTCTGAACAACCCAATATTTTGCACCTCCGTTTTTTTTGCTCCTTCCTGTCGTCCTCCTTCCTCTGAGTTTATTCTCCGACGCGTTATATCGAGAGTCTTCCGGCGCGAGACGGTGTCGTTTTCTTTTCTCTTCTTTTTATGCGACCAGAGGATCTATCGATCTCCTAGTTACTTGTCGTTTCCTCGTTCCCTCAGAAACGTTTCACGCACCTCGGGTCGTAGGATGATTGTAGGCGAGCGTTTTTTAAATGACTCGGCGTGAGGGAGCGCCGTTGGAAAAGAGAGAATTCTCGATTTGTTGCAGTCACTGTGAAGTCAAAGAGGTATTTAAAGTGATGAATGTTTTTTCACGAGCGCCACTTTAGAGACCGTTTGAGCGGAGACGGGAGAAGAAAATGCCGGATGCGCGCCCCGTTCCTGAAACTCCAAGCTCATTTCGCGCGGGCAAGTAAAAGTAATTTGCTAAAGGGTCCCTGCCTAATCCACCCACAATCCCGTTAGCCAAATTCTCTTTCTCTGTCTTTGTGGAAAATCCCAGCCGTATACACATACACGCCCACACACACACACACACACATCGCGTTTTAAAAGGAGAAGAAGCTCCGTCGAGTTGGCTTAAAATCGACCCACAGTCTCGCGAGTATTACCTCCCTTTTTCTTCGTTCCTTCTTTTTCTGCGTCTCATTCTCGGACGGCTCTTTCCCTTCGACTGAATATCATCCTCTACGTCGCTAATTCGTTCGATACCGGCGTATCACTCGGCGCGCGCTCAGCTGATTACCGTTGGTTAGAGCAAGTTTGCGGGGAGGATAAAACCGATATTCGCATTAGGACAGAACGCGCACGGCAATCGGCGGCTGGGTAACGGCTGATGTCAGCATGTGATGATAGATTGTAAACTAGACTGTGTGTCTCCCTCGTAAACCGACGCGCGGCCTGTGTTCGCGCGCGACGTCGAGATGTAGGCGCGTATTAATACCCTTTGGTATTACTACCGCATATTTGTTACGCGTAACACGTCAAGCACACGAGGAAGAAAGCGATGTCAAGTTCCGAGACGTTATGTGCATTACGTTGACGTCTCGTGACTAAAGCATACCATATCTAATACGTTGAATGTCGCGTTGGCTGTCACGATGACCGGTACAATGTGCTACTATCGCACCTCATATCGCGAGTTAAGGTTATAAGTAAACATATAATTAATCACATTAAAAAAATGGCTTGTGCAGCCAATAATGCAGCAGCGAAAGGACGTGACAGACATACTCGTAGAGAATTTTTCAAGAAACTATCTACATTCGTACACGCTGAGGAAATATCATACTGTTCGTCCGACTAGGATATACTCGTGTTATTTGAAACGTATAAAAAATAATGTGATAAACCATTTGACGTATGGTATAAATTTTGTTTTGTTCTGTGAAGTTGAAAAGATATCAAATATTAATTGTTGGGAGCTATTGATTCATCGTTAGGAATTGTTAATTAATTGTCGTAACGTATAAATTTAGCCTTTAGTATGAATATGTCTTACATAATACAGGATGATATATTATTCGATATACAGAGTGTCCGGAATCTTTTGGGAAAATTGTGAAGATTAATCAGATCAAACCGAGAAGAAAAGTCAAGTACCATTTTGCAAAAGTTTTGTAATAGTTATTAAGTTACTAACGATTGAAAATGAACACATCTAGAGGCTCTTTTAATGGATAACTTGAAAATTTGCATACTTATTTGCAAAGTGGTAAAGGACTCTTTGGTTCAGAATGACCTAATCTACTTAATTATATAACGGCTATTGTGCCTAGCCACACGTTCAATATTCAGGGTTCAATATACTCATATTTATCGTTAGATATAATAGCCGTCATATAATTGTAGATTAGGTCGTTCTGAATAAAAAGATCCTTTACCATTAGCAAATAAGTAAGCAAATTTTCAAGTTATCAATTAAAAAATCTCAATTAAAAGACCTCTAATGATTTGTGATCATTAATAAGTTAATAACTATTGCGACTTTTGCAAAATGGTACATGACTTTTCTTCTCGGTTTGATCTGATTAATCTTCACAATTTTTCGTTTCCAAAAGATCCCGAACACCCTGTATATATATTGAATATTTATTGAATATATTAATATTCAATAAACAAAAAAAAATATATATATATATTCAGTATATTGTTCAATAAAAATGATTTTTGTGTATGCATCTCGAATAAGATTTCTCCAGCAGAAGCATCTTCAGTAATCGGACCATCAGTTAAGCTTTCGCGCAATCAATGCAAATGAATGTGGCCGTCAACGTGTTGAGGCACAACGCGTTCCACTGCGCAACGAGACAATCTCGAATGCGAATTGGTGTCATAGCGCAACGCTTTTCCGGCGCGTTGGAAGCGCGAGTTAATGTCGTTAACGTCATGTTCGCCGATGCAAGTTGTCATGACCGATGGGGATTGACACATTTCTTCGCGCCGCTGATACATTGAGAGTCGAGGTCGGGATAAACGTTACCGAGTGTGTCGAAAGACGCGAGAGAAAGTGGACTTTTCCTGCCTGGGCTTCCGACGAAGAAAACGCGTTTCGGGAAGCGAGGGGACGTCGTCGATTAAACGACCGCGCAAAAACTCACCTACGGAAGTCCCTGCTCCAGCAAGCGTATATCACGGGATTCATTCCACTATTAATCCAACCGAGCCATGTGACGGCCGCGGATACTATCTCTTCCTGCCAGATGCACCTCGTGCAGAATCCCGACCATAGATTCACGACGAAGAACGGCAGCCAGCAGATGATGAAGACGCCCATGACGATGCCCAAAGTCTTGGCCGCCTTCTTCTCCTTGGCGAATTTGGCGAGCTTGCGCGACAAGGAGAAGTTTTTACCGAGGTGTTGCTTGTTGTTGATGGTGTGCCTCGCGGACGGCACCCGGGTGAGACCGTTGTTGTGAAGCGCGGTTAGCGGCTCCTCGAGATCCTGCAGCTCCTCGGGCGTGCTCGAAGTGGTTCGAAAGAGGTGGCGGGCGTCGGTGTTGGTACCACCACCCCGGTGTATCCTCAGAGTGAGCTCGAGCTCGCCCGAGGCCATCATCACTTGCTTCGTACCGAGCTTCAGGCTCCTCGTCTGTATCACGGCGGCGCGATAGATTCGGTAATACGTGAACACCATGACGAAGAGCGGCAGGTAGAAGCTGATTGTCGACGAGAAGATGAGGTAGCCGAGGTTCTCCGTGAACGGGCACTTGTCCTCGGGCACTTGTTCGGTCCGCACCGCCCGCCACCAGGCGATCGCCGGGAAGGAGATCGCGCTCGAGCAGATCCACACGATCGCGATGAGGATGGCCGCGCGTTTCCGGCTCATCCGCGTCGGATACGTGAACGGATCGGTGATCGCCCAGTAACGGTCCAAACTGATGACGCACAGATTCAGGATGGACGCGGTGGAGAATAATACGTCCAACGAGCGCCACACGTCGCACCAGTCGGTCGTGAAGAGCCAGCGGTTCTCCAGCACCTCGTAAACCGCGCTGAACGGCATCACCACCAGGCCGACCAGGCAATCGGCGAAGGCCAATGAGGTTACAAAGTAATTGGTCGCTGTGTGCAGGTACCGTTCCCTGAACACCGCCAATATCACCAGCGTGTTGCCGAAGACGGTCGCTACGGAGAAGAGCAGGAGAACGATCGCGAGTCCGGCGCGATCAGTCGCGAGTTCCCAGAGATTCTCGTAGCTGCTGTTGAACGGCGGATAGCTTGCGTTGTAAAAGCTCCTGCCGAGATCGTCGTTGTTTGTTGCGTGTACCTCGTCTTCCCAGCTCAGTAAATAGATCTCGCTGTCGTTCATGTTTCGCCGTGCGCAGCCGTACCACTACGACGCTCCTCTCAGCCGGCCGCGATCACCCCGATACGCGATTGCCCGAGACGACGATCTCGACGTTCTTCATGTTCGTCGGACGACGCCGGCTGGACGTCATTGCTTCGCCGCTGCACCTCGGCTCGTTCGCTACGCTCGTTCGACCCCCGATTCTTCTCGGCCGCTTTCTCATCTTGACTCCGTCTCCAAGTACCGCAAATCGTTAATGATTCCACCGAAGCCGCCGCTGTGGGGGGGGGGGAGGGGTAGGAGGTGAGGGCCGCAGCCGCGGTTTTACAAGGATTTCCACCCGCGATCTCGACTGTATCCTCGCTCGCTTGAGCTTCGCGCTCAATTCAACTCGCTCGATATTCGTCGCTTATCTGTCCGACGGAACGGCGCTTCCCCTCCCAGCCGCGATATTCGAAGCAACGCGTGGGCAAAACGGTGACATAATCGGGGGGATAATGTCGAAAGTTCGGACACTCCCTCTAGCACTCGTTGGCTTTTCGTTCATGCTCGCATTTTCGTGCGAAACTCTAAAGTTTACCGCCCTTTCCCGACACCTGGAACAAGCGAATGAATTCGTAAATTCGCGCCGTAAAGCTGGCCGATTTTCAACGTTCCCGCGCTCGCGATCGTTCTCGGAAGGAGACGATGCTAATATTTTATCGAGTGCAGCTATACAAGTTACTCGCGGGCCAACGGGAGGGAGAAACAGAGCGACCTGTTCTTCCCTCTGGATGCTTCGCGATGCTTAAAACGAAGTCTGCGAAAGTTTCACGCTCCGCGTTGCCGCACACGCATACACACACACACACACACACACACACACACACATATACACACGTGCCGCAAACGCTGTCGCCAATTAATCGTAAAGCAGTCAAAGTTAAGGGACAAACGCGTGCCGGTGCGCGCCCTAACTTTCAGTAGATTTTCTCGCCCCGGCAATTTTATCGAGTAACAACTACCGCTTCATTTTCCGTCACGAGCGTGACGTCTGAGAAATTTCACCCTCGGGGGCACGTAACTGGACGGACTCTTTTGGGGCGATATTAAAACAATCGCGTCACCTCGCTTCGCGTCGTCGTCGTCATCGTCGTGTGTAAGTCTTTGATCCTCTCCTTCGGGATCGTCCTTGTCGTGCGGATATATTGGACTCGTGCAGACAGAATGCGGTCGAAAGTTCATTAAAAAGAAGAAAAGGAAGAAAAAGAGGTGGGAGGGAAGGACTGCCGATACTGGGTAGGTTTCCACCTAATACGCCGACGCGTATCTGTTCGGTCGTAAAGAAAAACCGAGGAAAAAGAAATAGGAAAAAGCGAGCCAAAGAAGGGAGAGCACTTCTGCTGGATTTGAATGACACGCGTAGCGTCGTCGAACGACCGAACGATTAAGAAACGAAGCCCGAATCCACGTGCAGGATATAACATTAACATATTGTAGTCAGTATAACAGGTTGCCTGCCTGTTCGGACGATAATGCAGAGGTTGCCGAAAAAGTCGCTCGTTGACAATGATATTTGTAATGCTCCCAATTATAACGAGTGCAACTGACTTTACATTGTGATCGTCATGATCGTTTGACAAGAAGCGAGCCTTATTGAATTAAAAAGAAATGTTTAAAAAGTGAAACTGAGAAATAAGCATTACGAATTTAGCAGAGTAAATAAGAATAATAGTTAAGGAGATAAATAATATAATATATTTTTATTTCACATAACTTCCTAATTCCTTTTTTGTGTTGAAATTTATCGACCATTTATGAGAGAGACAGGAGTCGAACCTTATTAAATTAAAAAAGAAATGTTTAAAAGAGTGAAACTGAGAAATAAGCATTACGGATTTAAGCAGAATAAATAAAAGTAATAGATAAGGAGATAAGTAATACAATTTTATTTTCTTGTTTTAAATAATTTCCTAATTTCTTTCTTGCGTCGAAAAGTTCGATATGAATTGGAGATTAGAAAGAACGGTATAGAAATATTTAAAAGTCTTATATGCTATTCATGTTTCTACAAGAAATCACTTCTGATCGACGACAACTATCGAGCTCTATTTTCGATAAAAGAGATAATTAGACAGATCAAGCTACAAGACTATAATACACTGAAAATATGTCGCTTGATAGTTGTCGTCGATTAAGTTGCAATTAATATTTATGCTGCGTTTTTGGTCAGCTTACCTTTGCAGAAGCGACCTTTTGTAGAAACACGCATAGAATATAGTATATAAGACTTCTAAATATTTCTCTCTAATCTCTAATTCCTATCGAACTTTTCAACGCAGGAAGAAAATTACAAAATTATGTGAAACAAGAAAATATGTTATATTATTTATCTCTTAATCTATTACTCTTATTTACTCTAACTAAATCCGTAATGTATATTTCTCAGGTTTATGTTTTTACACATCTTCAATTCAATGAGGCTCGATTTCCGTCACAAACGGTCGAAAAACTGCCATAACGATCACGGTGCAAAGTTAGTTGCACTCATAATCAGTAACACTGCAAATATCATTATCAACAAAGTCAACGAGCGACTTTCTCGGTAACCTCTGCATTATCGTCCGAATAGCGGCAGGCAACCCGTTATACTGATTTATATGTTGATGTTACACCCTATACGTGCGCCATCACTCCGCGCGCCGCGCGTGAACAATCAGTTTCAAAGAGCCCCGACGTCTTCTTTCGCGGCATTATAGACCGAGAGCGCGCGGCTATTTCTGGATAATTCATCGTTGAGTGATTATTATGATCATCTTTGACCCCGCACCCTCGCGTCCTCGCGGCCTTCCTCGTTTTAGCAGTGTAACGAACACTCGATATTACGGCCGTTGAGGAAGGCCGCCGTTGAACTTGGTCATTACGGATGAATAGTACCGATGGCGATCGATATAGCCAGGCGGCGTTGCAAAAAAAGTAATTTTCCTAGAGCGGCTCGCGTTCATTAATGGGGGGCACACTTTCGCGCGGGCCAACGCGGCGCGGCGGACGATAATATCCGCGACTTGAAAGTTCATGCCGCGATCCAGTCGATTTAAGTTTTTGACGCGCGGCTTAAGTCGCTTAAGGCGCGAATACGACGGGGAAAATCATTTCAGTAGCGTATATTCAGCGCGGTATTACTCGAGCGTGGAGGAAAAGCGCCGTTTCACACACGTCGCCCCTTAAACTTGTCAACCCGCGCGCGCTCGCAGCCTACTTTGAGAAATGCGAGTATCGACTGCGAGTGCGGGAACTCTCGCGAGAAGTCGGGCGGAACGCGCGAAATTAAGCGATTGTTATGAAAACGCGTTGCGTAAAGTTGCGAGGAAGAATGTTTCCCCTCAGACAGCAAATCCTTTTATCGTGTTTTCCGACAAGGGTCGGCCCGAGTCTCCGTGTGAGTCTCTTTTCTCCCGCTTTCTCCTCAGTGCATGAAACTGCGATAGGCGGATCAAGAGCGGCCAGAGATAACTCACGAACGAGGAAATAAAAGAGGAGATACCTGAGAGAGTAGTTAGGAATTGAAAGAAAAGTCGAATGGAGGAGAAAACGCAAGGAAGGAAGGAAGGAAGGAAAGAAGGAAGGAAGGACGACAAGAGACAAGGAGAATAAAATCGAAAAATTTACCGAGCGCACACGACGGCGCAGAAGTTGTGATAATGTCAAGTTGTACCGCACAATTTTGCACGTTGCGTTGATAAATCCTTTGAATCCCGGCTAATTGATTCCTCCACGAGGGGGACGAGAGTCCACTCGATATCCAGCGAGTATTTAATACCCGCGGCCTCCGCTCTCGCTCTAACTTGCACGATAATGTAAATTAACGTCGTAGAGTCGGAGGAAGGAAGAATCTGTTTTACGAGGCTTGATCGCAATCGCATTCGCATTCGCGAGCCCGGCGGGACTAATTGAAAAATTGCATAAGATTGGCCGAACGATAATCGCGCAAGCCGGAAGTCAGTGGGTGCCAATAGTCTATTATCGTTCGTGACACTCTCCGAGTATTCGTTTTACGCGCGTCAGGCGCAGCTGCTTCTCTCGAAAGATATCCGATCGGCCGGCAGAAAGAGAGAGAGAGGAGAGAGAGAGAGAGAGAGAGAGAGAGAGAGAGGGAGAGAGAGAGAGAGAGAGAGAGAGAGAGAGAGAGAGAGAGAGCGGTTATAGTTAGATTTATACGGCGGTTATAGTTAAATTTATACGGCGCATTGTGTCAATTATTAATTCCGCCTCGTGCGAGGTACAAAATCGACGAGCGGAGGAGAGGAGGGGGGGCGGCCGAGGCGAAAATCGCGCGCATTTTCCCCGGAAAATAGTTAACGTATCAAACCGAATATAGATGTAGACATTTCGCCTCCGACTGGAAGTCATCGATAATTCTCAAGTTGCGCGCTCTTTTCTCATCCTTGCCTTTTATTATTAATGCACAATGGAAATAGCTTAAAGAGAAGAGATTTACCTCGCCGCCCCGTTGCATCACAACGGAAAGACGACTCTTCATCTTCGCTGACATAATTAAACCGTTTTATCCGTTTTCCCGGACGCATTCCCATCGCGAGCGGAGAGACGCTGCTTAAACATTAAACTTGAGAATTATTCGCAGCACGATTAACGAGCGCTCAAGACAGTACAGTTGTTACGTTTGCAGAGTCCGTCGCTGTGCCGGCGCTAAGGCTGTCCTTGAAATTCCCTCAGGCAGCTCCCGCGAACCCGCGAGAGCGCGTATACTCTCGGCAAAGTGCAACAAAACGCGACAACGAAAGAGCATTGCTGAAAGAGCGTCGTTGAGCGTGTCATTCGTACTTGAAACTCGACTTCTACGCGGTCATTTCCGTCGCGGAGCGTCCGGCCTGAGAAAAGACACGCGAATCTAATTGATTCACGCAGCTCCCGACTTTCGACTGAATGCTCTCTTTCCCTCTCTCTCTCTCTCTCTCTCTCTCTCTCTCTCTCTCTCTCTTTCTCTCTCTTTCTCTCGATAAGCTTCCAATCTTCGGTAATCCCTGCTCGTTTCAAGCCGGCTATCTCTTTCGTCGTCTCGCCTTATCGTCGTCTTTCCCTATCGCCGTCGTATCGCGGTGCGTCGTGAATTTCAACCCCCTCGAACAATTCTCAGCATTTACGACGTGCACTTCCCGGAAGCGGACGTATCAAATCGAGCGCTAGGCGGACCGAGCGCGTTAAAACAGCGCGCGTTCGAGTGCCGCGCCGTGGAAGCGGTAAATGACGAGACGCGCGAATGCAAGGACGAACGGATGAACAACGCGCACGGATCAACTGGACGAAGTACAATTCTGGATCACACGCGAAAAGGACGATGTGGCCAGTGGAGAATCGGCGGCAAAATCGCGGCAGATCCGCGGGAGAGATCCACGCTCGAATCCGCACTTCGATCGCGATCGCGGTCGTGGTCGCACTCGCGAATCGGCTCGACGAGATGCTTCGAAAAACGCGATCGCGAAGGCAACGGCAATGGCAATGGCAACGGGCGAGAGAGGATGATCGTGTGGCGCGCACCCACTGTGAAAACATGAGCGATTCGTGGCATCATCGACGACAGCAGCACACCGTGCGCGCTTCCTCCGAGAAGATATACGCGGGTACCGCTTGTGCCCCATTAGCGCGTTATCGGCGGGTAACGCGCGTTAATTGCCCTCTAATCCGGCGTATCTCTCGCTAGCACGGCGACATTCAAGGTCACGGGCTCCTCCGATCGCATCCAACGTCCGATCGATTCGCGCGCTGATTGATGCACGCTGTCATGACGCTCGTGGCGCGAACGACGACGACGAAGACGAAGACGACGATGACGACGACGACGACGACGACGACGACGACGACGACGACGTCGATGGCGACGTCGGCGGTGCGCGGTTGATTTCGCTCGCGATCCGGCCTGCGCTGTCGTTGGCTGTCGATATCAAGTGTGAGCGAGCGGTAAGGAATACGATCGAGGAGGAAGGGTCGCCGAGACCAAGCGCGGCCAAGGACGCCCTCGAATTCTCGCCGGAATCACGCACATACACACGAAAGAAAAGCGGCGGCAACGGCAACGGCAACGGCAACGGCAACGGCAGCGGCGGCGGCGACGGCGGCGGCGACGGCGACGGCGACGGCGGCAGCGACGACGGCGGCGAAGCGCGGGTGGACTCACACGACAACGGGCGGTCTCGCGTACTACCTCTTCCTCGAGAACGCCGGGACGTGTTTCGCGGTTTTAGACGGTCGACTGCTACCATCGCGTGGCTCGAAAGCTCTGCACCCGTCGCGCTTGCGCGCCGCATCGAGCCGCATCATCCCCGCGCGCTCACACACACGCACTTTTGCCCTTATCAACTTTTGCTCGAGGCACCCCGTTTCTTGCATGTGCGTCACCGTCGTGAATATACACGGATGTGACGTAGACCACGTTTCTTACGTACTCTCACCGGCGACGACATCGCCGATATCGTTCGCAACGTACTACGTACGTTTTTCTTCGAGTGCTCGACCGTGCGCACTCTCCTGTCGCGACCCTGGCCGACGTCCTCTCTTGCGCGCGGGCCCGCTCTCTCCCTGTTTCGGGAATAAAAAGGGTTCATCCACGATGGCCGATTGAACACGCGACGGAATCGCGACGCACGTGTCGCCGTGCGAGAAAAGTCCCGCGAAGGAATTCTTCTTGCCGAGCGCAGGAGGACGGGAGGAGAGAGAAAGGCACTTCTGCGTACGTCAGATACAATTATTTAATCCTTGAAGACTGCCGCACGGCAGTGGGGTGAAATTTCACCCCACGAGTTTTGGGTAAATGTGCACAATACAGGGGATGCACCTTCAATGACTGACCTCGACATATGTTGTCAAAGTCAACACTCTCAGTAATGCGCAAAAGGTTTTAGGTGGCGCTCGTTGTTTGTTAAAAAGTTATTAACGAAAGAAGTTTCATTAATCGAGCGTAGTTTTTCGACACTGTGTATATTTAGGTACGGTAAACTTTACACATATGTGAGCAGAGAAGAGTCTTAACTGCATAATTATTGAAAATACAAGACGAGTTTCGTAAATACGATCTTTCACCTTACTAAATTAATGAGTCTACGATGTACTAAAATAACAGATTCTGAGAAGATTAGCAAAGACCTTTACGCAAGTTTGGCTCAAATCAATTACTTAAATGCAAATCTTGCGTAGGGGACTTTGCTGTTCTTTTCAGAATCTACAATTTTAGTATACGGTAGACTTATCAATTTAGAAAGGCGAAAGATTTAAGCGTCAAAACTTATGTATATAAAAACGAGCGTTGATTGATAATTCGTTTTGATAGTTCTGAGTACCACTCGCAACAAAGTTTAAATTGGCAGTCATTGTTTATTATAAACGGTGAATATGAATTACGTTCATTTTGTTGAACTTCTCTCGCTGATAACTTTTTCACAAACAATGAGCGCCGCCCTAAGACCTTCTGCACATTACTCAGAGTGATGACCTTGACAACATATGTCAAGGTCAAAGTCACTGCATCCTCTATATTGCATAATTACCGAATTTTGTTTGGATCTTGTTGAAAAATGTAAGCACCGACAACACTATTTTTATGGGTATTTATTCGTCCATATCCTTTGCTATAAACGTAATTATCGGAAAGCCAGCTTGGAGCGATATTTGACGGTAGCTTTGATTAAATGCAGTCATCGAAATACCTCGAGGAGCGCGCAAATGGCCGAAACATGCGCGAAAGAGGAAGCGGTCACGGCTTCGAAACGAATTCGTACACGGCTTTCGATATTTTTATTATTCGAATATTTCCGCGCCGGTGCCAACGCGCGCGCTCGCGACGCAACAATGTTACGCTGGATGGGAATGGCAGAGTGACGGTAGTTCTTTCTAATTAAGATACACGATGCGGGAATTTGTCGGAGTTATTTGCGATTTTCCGCGCAACATCCCTCCGCGTTGTTCTTCGCCTGCTTGCCGTTCTCGCAGCATTCCTGCTTCAATTCGTCCTTGCCTCGCAGTTTGCAGCAACCTGACATACAGCAACCGCCGGCTGCTTCTCTCGCCCTGTTAAAATGTTAAAACGCTGATGATATCAGACGGATTGTGAGGCGCAGGTCCCGAGAGAGAAAGCGATGCGTCCGCTCTCACGGATTCGCGATCTCATTCGAGCGACCCGTCAAATTCGCGACGACGCTCGTTCGGCGAGTCCGAATTTCGAAATCGTGCGAGTGAAAAAGAATAGAGACACTTTGTCAATTCGTTTCCTGAAAGTCACCCATATGGCCGCCTTTCTAACCTCGTTGACGCGCCAGGCCAGCTTAACGGCGCGGATTACTTTCTCGTGGGGCAACAACTCTTTTCATCCGTATTAACATCGCTACAACACCCGCCGCGCTCTTGCTTCGTGCCGGCGCAACATTTCGAGCCGCAGCATCCTCCTTCTGTCTGCTTTTCTCTGCGCATTCGGTCGAGTCAATCACTGAATTATGTATCAAATAGCCGAGAGAGCGCGCTGCGAATCTCGTAAAGTCGTTATTGTAAAGCCAGACGGCCATATAGGTTTTCGAAATGAGCTCTCTCTTATTTTGTAAGAGAAGAAGAGGTTAGAGGAGAAATATCAAAAGGGAAATATTTCAGAAAGCGTGAAGCGCGAGTGCGGTGATCAGAAGATGTGTCGAGAATAAATGTCCGTGCTGATCGGAAAGTTAAAGTGTGACTATTGCGGTCTTTACCTTTTGCTGCAGCATCCACCGATGCTCTTTTCCTTGACGGCAGTGCTGTTCTTTTTCTCATCCCTGCGGACATACAATATGTATCTCGTGTTACGTACACCACCTACACACGCGGATATATTTATAAGTTTATAAAAATATACGTAGAGACACTCACTGGTCGCACCGACACGTCACCTGACCGGCGTATCCTTTTTGGCTGATAATTTTGCTATAAAGAATCATGTCGGAGGATTATATATAATGATACATCAGAAATAATCGCTAGCGTCGTAAATAATTTGTATAATTCCGCGTCTCGCGTTGCCACTTTTCGCGCATATATATATATATATATATATTCCTACATACGCACACATACACATGTATAAAAAGTAAGAGGTTAAAAATGCTTGGTACTTACGCACAATGATCACACATGACGGGTGCTTTTACAGTGTTACGTTACAATTAAATCGTAGCAGCAGGGCGTAAAGGATCAATTATGAAGCGCAAGCGTTTCAAACAAAAACAATTTTTTTACCCCCGGATGAATTTTGAAATTTTTAGCGAAACGTGTGGTGCATCGCTTGCGTCAATTTGCAGGAATTTTAAACAAACGTTAAGCGTTACCATGGTCGTTCATCTTTTTCCCTTCTAGCGGCATTTCTTTTTCAAGGATATTCTGCATACACGTATATACAAGGTGTATAAAAAGTACCGGAACGGCGAAATATCTCGAAAACTAAGCATTTTAGAAAAAAAATATTTCAGATAAAAGTTGTATAGTATGTTTCCAGGAGGACATAAAACTGTATCATTTTGCTTACAGATGGCATTATTTTCGAGATATTCATTGATCGTTACTTTTTTTAAATAGAAATCCCAATTTTTTATTATATCATCTTTTTCTACCAATTAATTTAAACAACTGTTTGTCTGAAACATTTCTTATTCATTTAATATGTTTTGAGATATTTAAAGAAAATTTGGTAATTTTTTTAAAATTTAGCTTACCATATCTCTGTAACTATTTGTCGGAAGAAAAAATAGGACTAGATTTTTTTATTCTACTTGGTTTCAAGAATATACTGTTATAATAATGCCTTAACTTTTGTTAATTTGATAATTTTGAAATTTCGAAAAGTCGATAAGTTAACAAAAATTAGAGCATTGTAACAATATATTCTTGAGGCCAAATAGAGTAAAAAAGTCTAGAACCAGTTTTTCTTCCGGCAAGTATTTAGCGAGATATCGTAAGTTAAATGTTGAAAAAGTTACCAAGTTTTCCTTAAATATCTTTGCTAAATATCTATTGCCAAAAACTATTAGGCAAATAAAAAAATGTTTGAGATAAAAGTCATTAAAATTAATTAGTAGAAAAAAATGATATAATAAAAAATTGGGATTTCCATTTAAAAAAAGTAATGATATAAAGTGAATATCTCGAAATTGGTGCCATTTGTAAACAAAATGATTTAATCATTTTGTGTCCCTCTTGAAACCATAGAACTTTTGTCTGAAACATTTTTTTCTAAAATGCTTAGTTTTCGAGATATTTCGCCATTCCTGTACTTTTTATACACCCTGTATAATACATATCGTATATCGTGTATGAGGATCAAAGAATTTGAAATTGCATATAATTTTTCTATGTCATTATTCTTTACGGTTCGTCATGGTGGCAAATTGGTTGCAAAGTATTTTATAATGAGAAGCGAAGTAATCGTTTAATCTTTAAATAAATCTCACACTAAGAGGTGCAAGTAATTATTACTTAAGAAGCAATACAAACGAGAAATCATACAAAAAAAAGTTGGTCTGGTATTTTCAACAGATATTTTATATATATACTTGCTATATAATTTTTATTTCGACGAATCGCTCAGGTGAGAAAAAAACAGTCTTTATTATTTTTTCTCTTTTTCCCTTCTTTTCCTTTCAATGATACAAGTGATACATTTTACATTTCTGGCTAATCCGTACTGCACTGCTCCCGTTTATATTTTGTACGACGCGATTGCTTGACTCTGTATTGCTTGAATATGCACAGCAATTGTAGATTTTCAAACGAATGCTGCGCTTTTCAAGATCTGCAAACAGAACGTGCGTGTCGTGAAAAAATGCGGACTAAATTTACATTCTAATAGACTTACTTCGGGTTGCTCCTTAACGTAACACGTGGCAATTCGGAAAGCCTTGTCGCAGGCATTGTCCGCGGCTGAAAATTTAACTTTCCGATTAGATCGTCTAACACTCAGTAGCTGTTCGTTAAATTTTAAGCGCGTGTTCTCTGTTATATTTTACGGAAAAAAAGGAAGAAAGGTACGATGAAAAAGAGATGTTACACAGGATCAAAGCGACATTGTTACACGACAAAGATGCCTGACGTTGAGGGAAGTGGAAAACTTACGGATTGATTTGCATCGATTGAGAATCCTTCTCGACGATTCCTGCATACTACGCGGCAAATGACGTAGGGCTTTTTCGAGATCGATAGTGTTGTCTTTGTTAAGAATACCGCTTTTCATCATGAAGCACTTTAAATAACATTTCAATCTCATGTCATCTTGCTCAACGTTACCGGCCTTTAATTGTTTCAAAGAATCTGAATCAAGGAACACGATTAGGAAAGATTAATGAGCGTTCTTGCCAATGCGCGAGCAACATAAAAAGTCCTTACCCCAGGAAACTTTCGTTTGTTGACGACAGTCTCGTTTAATGTCCCCTCGTACTCGAACATGTAAAATCAAATAAGTTTGATAATCGCGTCGAGTGACGTTCGATACTATTTCCCGACGCGATCGATTGGGACTATCTTTAGGTTCGCGATGAAACTGAGTTATGAAATTTTTAAGGTTAAGTTATGGAACTAAGCGCTCCGCGCATTATCATGCAAATGTAAACTTTGCATAATAATGTAAAGTGTAATCTCGTCGAAGTCTTGAAATGCCGGAAACACCAACACTTCTCGATACGAATATTTTTGCATGAAATAGAGAAGAAAAACCGAGACGTTCTTTTTTCGTTTGTCGCGTGAACGGTTACTTACTAGCAGAATTAACACGCCAGCTAAAGTGACGAGAAGTATGCTTGCAGCTTTCATATCTAAGGTACGTTTAGCTCTCTAGTGTTCAAGAGCGTTCTGAAAGAACTGTGTGTCAGGTAATACTAATGTTAACGGGGATATATATTCCTGGCACACCTGGAGCGCGAGAATCTTGTTGGCGCTTGATCTCTGATAGTGGAGCGTAATTAGCGCACAATCATATAAATGTCGGAAATAAAGTTGAATGATTGCATTAGTGCCGTGGCAATCAGCTTTTATGTGTAATGCATAAAACCGCGCGTCACTGACTTTGTCATGCAAATTCGTTGTAAAACGTTTTGAGAATTCCGAATCTTTTTTAGCGTTTCTCGCGATTGTTCGAGCGAATTATTTTCTTCTCCCGTTATGGCTGATAATAAGATGTCAATTTGCCGTCGATGAAAAGTATGAAATAATTATTTAATGGAATTTACTTACAAATATGACTATCTATCGCTGAGTACAACCGTACTGTTTAATAATCAAAGTTACTTTATTTGAACCAAAATTATTCGACCTGTTGTTTATTTATATTACGATCGCAATTTCTTTTTATTTGCCAATATATAGAGTTGTCTATAGATATTAACTTATTGGGATATTTAATGTAACCCAATCAGCGGATAATATTTTTTTAACGCTTTTCAAATATTTATTTTACATTCTTTTTAATTTCTTCCATTTTTTCATTAAAAAAATTTTTTTCATTCATTGCACAAAAGAAATATTTATTTAACGTTCATTTAATATATATTTTACATTAATTCTTTATTTAAAATGATATATTAGAAAAATATTTATTTAACGTATATTTTATATTTATTTTACATTAATAACTGGTTTAAAATTATTTTTAACGTTTTAAAAATGTCTTTTAAATGTTTTGTTAATATTTGTAAAATTATTTTTTAAATACTTTTTTTCTCATTGGGAATGCTGTCCTATTCTGCGACTTACCTCAAACTATTTCGCTTTCTTCATCGTGCGAGGCACCTTCTATTGGTTGCGTTCAGAAAACACAATTGTAAAAATTGTTTAATAAAAATTATCTTATAAGATATGATTGGTGTATACTTTAGATCTACCGATAACAATCTTTTTCAAAAAGTCGACTTCTCAACTATTGTGTTCTCTGAACACAGACAATAATATTTATGTATTTAAAATTTATCCTCTGTTAACATAGAAGCAAATATGCAAATGAACCGATCATAATTGTTTAATAGAAGCAGTGGCGGCTCGTAGCGGAGATTTTGAAATTAATAAAAGTAATAGGTAACTTAGCAGAGATTCGAATCTCACTCGATCGAGACTCAAATGCCATCTGTTAACCAAGATTCAAACTCTCATGGCAAAATTGTTGTTGCTGTCTGGTGGTGGTTGGTAGCGAAGTTGATTGCATGTTTTGATACTTCGTTCTCGATGGTTGTACCAGAGAGGAACATGAAAGCGACCAACACGGCGTTTTCGGCGACACCGACTTCCCGCACTGTGAAAGAACGCCATCTGCATCCATTTTGAGAGGGGAACTACGATGCTACATCTACTTTTAGGTTTCGGCGGTAAAACCTACATGTACTGGCAGTCCGTACTACATCCATTTTCAGACGGCTTATGTCCGTGCTACAACCATAATAGCGTACTTGACAAGCATGATTTCGCACATAGTTAATATCTCCATCCCTATTGGAAATTGAAAGTCGAGCTTTATGGTGAGAATAGGATAGATATAGGACAATATTGTGGTACAAGTGTGTTCCTGTATCTTGAGCCGTTTAGGAGACAAAGGATCATTCCTGTAACATTAACCGCTTAGTAGATATCGAAGGTTAAAGTTTTTAAATTGAACTTTTAATATCTCCGTTTCTACCGGGAATTGAGAGTCGAGCTTTATGGTGAGAATAGGGTTGATATAGGACTAAATTGTGGCAAAAACGCGTTCCTGTATCTTGAGCCGTTAAAGAGATATCAAAGGTTACATTTTTAAACTTTAATGTTCATATCTCCGTTGCTACTGGAAATTGAGAGTCGAGCTTTATGGTGAGAATAGGGTTGATATAGGACTATACTGTGGTAGAAAAATGAGCCTGTATCTTGAGCCGTTTAGGAGATATCGAAGGTTAAAGTTTTTTCAACTGGTACCGTTAATATCTCCGCTTATACTGGGAATTGAGAGTCGAAATTTATGGCGAGAATAAGGTCGATACAGGACTATATTGTGGTAAAAAAAACGGTCCTGCATCTCTAGCCGTTTAGAACATATCGAAGGTTAAAGTTTTCCAATTTATACCGGTAATATCTCCGCTTCTACCGGGAATTGAGAGTCGAAATTTATGGTGAGAATATGGTTGATACAGGACTATACTGTGACAAGAAAACGGGCATGTATCTCGAACCGTTTAGGAGATATCGAAGGTTAAAGTTTTCCCACATTTCTCCGTTGATATCTCCGCTTCTACTAGGAATTGAGAGTCGAAATTTATGGTGAGAATAGGGTTGATACAGGACTATATTATGGAAAAAAAACAGGCCTGTATCTCGAACCGTTTAGGAGATATCGAAGATTAAAGTTTTCCAACCTTTCTCCGTTGATACCGTTGATACTCCGCTTCTACTGGGAGTAGATAGTCGTCCATATAGTAGAAAATGTAGGGTTTTGAGAGGACTTTAAATTGGTACCAGAGCCAGACCTGTATCTATAACCGTTTAGGAGATATCGAAGATTAAAGTTTTCCAACCTTTCTCTGTTGATATCTCCGCTTCTACTGGGAGTAGAGGGTCGCCATTTACGGCAAAATGTAGGGTTTTGAAAGGACTTTAATTTGGTACCAGAGCCAGGCCTGTATCTCTAACCGATTAGGAGATATCGAAGGTTAAAGTTTTTCAGCCATTCTCCGTCGATATCCAGCCTTCCTCTGTCGATATCTCCGCTTCTACTGGGAGTAGAGAGTCGTCCATGTAGTCGAAAATGTAGGGTTTTGAGAGGACTTTAATTTGATAGCAGAGCCAGGCCTGTATCTCTAACCGTTTAAGAGATATCGAAGATTAAAGTTTTCCAACCTTTCTCCGTTGATATCTCCGCTTCTACTGGGAGTAGAGAGTCGCCATTTACGGCAAGATGTAGGGTTTTGAAAGGACTTTAATTTGGTACCAGAGCCAGGCCTGTATCTCTAACCGTTTAGGAGATATCGAAGGTTAAAGTTTTCCAGCCATTCTCCTTCGAAATCCAGCCTTCCTCCGTCGATATCTCCGCTTCTACTGGGAGTAGAGAGTCGTCCATGTAGTCGAAAATGTAGGGTTTTGAGAGGACTTTAATTTGGTACCAGAGCCAGGCCTGTATCTCTAACCGTTTAGGAGATATCGAAGGTTAAGTTTTTCCAGCCTTTCTCCGTCTATATCCAACCTTCCTCCGTCGATATCTCCGCTTCTGCTGGGAGTAGTGAGTCGTCCATGTAGTCGAAAATGTAGGGTTTTGAGAGGTCTTCATTTTGATGCCAGACCCAAGCCTGTATCTCTAACCGTTTAGGGGATATCGAAGATTAAAGTTTTCCAACCTTTCTCCGTTGATATCTCCGCTTCTACTGGGAGTAGAGAGTCGTCCATGTAGTCGAAAATATAGGGTTTTGAGAATACTTTATTTTGGTGCCAGAAACAGGCCTGTATCTCTTGCCGTTTGGGAGATATCGAAGGTTAAAGTTTTCCAACCTTTCTCCGTTGATATCTCCGCTTCTACTGTGAGTTGACAGTCGTAATTAATGGTGAAATGTAGAGATTTTAGAGGACTATATTGTGGTGCAAGAAACATGCCTGTATCTCTAGCCCTTTAGGAGATATCGGAGGTTAAAGTTTTTCAACTTGTACCTTTGATATCTCCGCTTCTACTGGGAATTGAGAGTGGAAATTTATGGTAAGATTAGGGTTGGTATAATACTACATTGTGGCAGGAGCGCGTTCCTGTATTTTGTACCGTTTAGGAGATATAGTGAGTTATATTGTTTAACTTGTGTTATTAATATCTCCGTTTCTACTGTGAATTGAAAGTCGAACTTTATGGTCAAAGTAGGTTTGATATAGAACTATATTGCAAAAGAGCGTTCCTGTATTTTGAGACGTTTAGGAGATATCGAAGTTTAAATATGCTATCGATGAGGTTCGCTTATAGCTTCCATTTGTTTCAAGAGCGCTTCTCGGGAACATTCCGTTCGAAAGGTTAGTCCGCGATAAAAAGTTTCTTGCGAGCTGAGGCCGCTGTAATTCAAAGTTAAATTGCAGCAACATTATTGTTATCGGTCAATCCTGAGACCGGCTGCTGACATCCATTTGTGACGTCTGCCGCGCTTTTGCGATTACCGATAAATTCAGTTTTCTTGATTGCTCGTGTGATTTCAAGTGGCCATAATATATGGCGAGAATACATGGCAATATATGGGATTAATATATGGTAATAATATATGGCAACAATATATGGCAACAATATATGGCAACAATATGTGGCAACAATATATGGCAATAATATGGGACAGTAATTCATGGAATATATTTTTCGTTACAAGAGTCAATGCAAATTTGCGGCATGCACAATGTAATAATAAAAGTAATAATAAAGTAATAATATAAGTTCTTTCTGCGAGCTTTGAGTCAGACACTCACCAATGATGATATTGATGATGTCCTGTTGCATCCAACCAGATCCATCAATATCCGCTCATGTCCGCTGCCGCTCTCCATGTCGCGCAACATCCATCTTGCAGCTCGTCCCACGGTGATCGCTACACTTTCATCACACTTCCGCGACGCGGTCGATATGCGGTATTAGAACGGCGATATTTACATCAATTAACGGACGTTTTACTCGCCATCGGTGGAAACTTTTTGCGCGCTGCGAAACGGACTCTATAAACTCGATCGGCGAGGAGTAAGAACCGTGTGAAAATTTATTGACTCGTCCAACGGATTTTTACGGTGCTTTTCGCGATTGCGTCTGAAAAGTCGCGAAAATGTGGAATTATCGATATCTACGAGTGAAATATTAGCGACGCGAATGCACGCGAGGAAGGATTAGACAATCAGAAACCGGTCCCCCTTAGGGAGCGCAAAGAGAGAGGAGCGGAGCAAAGTTTTCACGCATTATAGCTCTGTCACGACGAAGCTTACGTCCGCGATACTTTGGCGAAATGAGAATTTAAGTTTTCTTTGTTAGCAACGCGAGTAAAAACGCGTATATTGACAACCGCGGTCACGATATTCAAAGGCACGCGAGCGAGGATACCTCAAGCTCGGCGTGCGCTGGCGCAATTTCTACGCGCATTATACGCTACTCGAGACAATAGGGATTGTGATGAATGGACAATATTGCCAAATAATTCTACAGCCTGTTTTGCAAATAAAAGAAAAGTTGCTAACGATATCGGCATTTAGGTATGAATATATTTTATACGGATAATTGAATATTGTCAAATAATTAAATCGTTCAGTAATTCTGCGGCCCGCTTGGAAAATAAAAATAAAGCAGCTGATGTCGGTGTCGCGTTTGTACATATGAATATTCTCTTATTCAGATGACTGAACATCAAAAGAGAATCATTCAGTATTTTAAATCTTGTATGTAATGCAGGCTATCGATCAAGTAATCCCCTGATTGTTTCGAGCAATGTATTTTATTCAACGTCACAAATACACACATGCAAGTATCTATTTGCAATTCGCATTGACTCGAACGATATTTTTTAGTCCCACATCCGTCATGCAGAATTTTGTTTCTCTTTTCATTTTGACTCACTGAAACGACTTGCAGTCAGAGCCGGCCATGTTCCGCTTCAACTCTGTAACAAAAAATTCACATTTGCTCATCAGATTTGACCAACGAGTGCGAGCGAGTAAAAAAGTAGTTTACCCTCTGCGATCGTAATTCAAGTCGAGCCAGAAATTATATCCCAGCTCTATATCGCCAAGGGTCAAACAGAGGACTATAGTAAACTTACCTTCAAGCCGACTCTGCTTCGCCCGAACCGAATCCTCCGGTGCGGCATCCGCGTCCACCGGATTGCTGTTGCTTTCCGCAACAACTGAAACAGAAAAATAATTTTCCCGGTTGAAAACCTGCGGTAGAGAGAGAATATCTTTGATCGGGACCAATCGAAAATACGGATATATTTTGATACGGAATTTTTATCTTTATATTTTTGTTCCAACATTAAAAATTTAAATGGGACTTGAAGTTTTCAAGAGAGCTGATGAGGAACAAGTTACAAAGGCAAAGATCGTAAAGAGTTGAACACAGATGTGTAGGAAACTTGTAAACTTTACCTTCCGGCCGATCCTGCTCTTCCCGAACCGGATCCTTCGGTGCGGCATCCGCGTCCGCTGGACTTACTTCCCGCAACGTCTGGAACAAAAATTTAGCGTTCTTGGTTGGTAAGTAAGTTGGTAGAGAAAGAATGTTTGGTCGGGATGAATGGAGAATATTCGCTACGGTTTTTTTCCTTCATTGGCATTGAAAGTTTAGATAGGACTTGGAGCTCTTGAAAGAGCTGACAACAAGAAGCGTAGACAATAGTTGTGTGCTCTCGAAAATACTCTTTTACGAATGGACATTTAAATTTAGATCCCGTAACGAGAGTAAACAGACTTGAACAGAAGTGCTGACCGAAAACAGAAAAGGTCGCAGTCTAAGAAGCGATATGACGTTGAATATTCTACACAAGACCGGTATACGCACACAGTTGAGAATTATTCAGAATGTTTGATTGAGAACATGATGAATTAGAGATCCGCGTTCGTGGACCGTTATCCGTCTCTGTCTGGATCAATATCTCTTGTATACAACAATGCAATAAATAATTAGACAGACAGAGATTGACGAGAGTAATTGCAGATTCACAAAGTCATGATTATTAGTCGGATGATGACGGATTGTGAATGCCGAGCGCGAAATTCCGACTTCTTATTCCTGGAAAATTCGTCAAACGTCCGCTCTCGTTATCGGAGATCTCCCGCATAATAAATGATTCCACATACCTGGAAACGTGACGTATTGCTGCCGGCGTCCTGCTTCCCAGCTGCTGGAGTCCTTCGGATTTCACTCGCTCACGCTTCTAATGTCGGTACACGCGATTCGACCGTGTGGTTAATCAACGCGATGCCGACGCGATGCCGATTGAGTATCTCGAAGACCGACGAGATACATTTCTTTCAATTAAACGAGACGGAAATGACGAGCGCACGGCTGCTGTTGATGGAATGAGGTAGAATACACGAGGTGCGCGATTATTATAATACGAATAATACGAATAATACGAAGGGCAAAAAGTGTCGTCGCTCGCGAACCGATCAACACAATCGGCGCGATGTAAATATTGCTGGCCTCGGCGACGGTTGAAGCAAGAGAGACTTGCCTTTGAGCGTCTCTTCTTTTCTCGAAGGTTCCAGAACGACGAGGGGAATGCGAGGAGGCCTTTCAACTGTACGCGACATTGATGTACTCTATTTATTGATTACTATTTATTGATTACTGAAAATAAAGAAAATTACTCTGTCGAAGCATCGGACATTTGTTAGCTTTATGTTAATTAAAGAGGAATGTGTACGATTAGAAAATGTGTTAGCAACTAATTGTACAGAGTGTCAAAGTTGTTGTGACGCCGTTTTCGGAGAATAATTAAAGATCATGGTAACGTTAAAGAGAGGAATTTCATTCCATGCGAATTTTGTCTCGTTTTTATTAAATGTTAGTCCTGTATAAAATGTCGTATTTAAAAATATTGTTTCGCATTCACGAGATTTTGTCGTGAATTCTGCTTTGCGGAAATCTCAGATTGGATCGCGGGCCAATACTTTTCAATGCGACGGGGAATAGAACGTGAAAATCTTGTATGCCTCTGAATCCGAAAACAATTAGGAGAAGAAGTGAATACTTTTCAATACGAAAGTTCGCATTTTGAAATTATCGATTGCAATTGAATACAAGGCATATTTGAAATGAATTGAATCCTTTTTAATGCGAAGCATTCATCACTGCCATCTCGCATTTAGCGCGGTGAAATTTAATGAGAACTAATACTTTTCAGTCTTTCCCTTTCTTCGGATCAGAAAGCAGAATTCAGATGTCAATATTCAAAATGTCAATACTTTTTAATATGTTTCAGTTCGACATTTTATACAGGGAGATTATCCGCTGCGGACAATAACTCTTCTACTTTTCATCTAATATTCAATGGTGATAAATAACATTTAATTGCATTCGTTTGGCTTTTTTTATTTCGAAAATAAAAAATATATACCAGGGTGAGATTTCACCCATGACAACGTGATGTTCTTTGATGTTTTTTCTAAAAGTTCAAATATTTCGTCGACTCGCGAGATATTTATAATTGGAGTCTCGTCGCGTTAATTAACACGTGCTCCTCCGAGCGGATCGAATGCTCACCGACGGCCACTGTCAGTGCCACGAGCGAATGTCCGGAGCGGACGGGATGCTGAATTGAGAAGTAGGACGAAGGGAACGGGACGCGGGCATCATGCCATAAATCTTGCGTCTCCAGACATGTCAAATCGTTTATTATAGAGGAGACTTTGATACGGCAACATGTATTCGAAGATTTAACATTTAATACGTACTTTTATTTTTTCTGCTCCTCCCGCCTCCCGCCGCTCTTTTTAGACCTCCGGGTCTAAAAGTCTGGTATAGAGATGGCAACTGTGGTTGCAGCACGGACATAAACCGCCTGAAAATGGATGTAGCACGGACTTCCACCACATGCAGATTTTACCACCGAGACCTGAAAGTGGATGTAGCATCGTAGTTCCCCTCTCAAAATGGATGCAGATGGCGTCCTTTCCCAGTGGAAAGTGGGTGTCGCAGAAAATGTCGTGTTGGCCCGTGGCCGCTCTCAGGTTTCTCTCTGGTTGTACTACTCTCATGATGCTTCAACGACTCCACGTTGGCACACGTATGTCAACATGGCTTCGAAAGAAAGTAACCTACCCGTACTGTACACAGAATTAAATAAATTAGGACAGAACGGGGATTACGAAAGAGCTTTGAAAACCGCGAATAGAAGTGAGTTGGAAATAAATTGTTTAACGGAATAACGTAAAAAACATCGGTTATTGTAATAGAAATAATCACTGTCTTGCTGTCACATTTAACGTTTCTGTACACTGTGTTATGTTTGCATCTCGTTTCAGAATAATTTGTATTTAAATAAAAGAAGTCTCGAAACAAGAGAATCTTTCGTCTGGAGTTTATAAAAGTAACACACATTTTGTTATTTAGTCTTAGGCATCTCCCAAGATGAAGAGGCTGCATTGCACTGCAAGATTATCTGTTACATACAGCTGTCCAAGTTCAATGAGGCGTTACAAATTATTGTTAAGACTCCCAAATTGGCAACGTAAGACAATATTATCTAATATAAATTAAATATCATAATTATTTTAGTGTTAACTGTATATCAATATTGTATAGATCTTTTGTAACACTGATATTTCTTCTTTTTATGGATATTTTAGTACATGTGATACTTGTGTAATATTGCTAATATCCCTAATATTATGATTTTAGCATTATTACCATTATATAATTTGAAAAAATATCTGCATAGAAAAAGACATTTTGACATTAGTTTTGTACTGTATCGTCTAAAGTTTGTTCTTTCCAGCTGAATCTTCTGTACTAGTTCAAGAAGTGTACACTGATATGTTCTTTCCATCAGTACAGCAGAACTTAATGCAACAGTTCACTGTACTGCTTGCACTAGCTTCAGACCTAGTGCAAGCAGTTCAATATATTGTGAGGGCAAAATTTACATCAGTTCAGGTGGTGTATTTAAAAAGAACAGACTTATAGTTGTTGGGTCGTTAGATACTTCTGCAGTTTTTACTTTATTAATATCAATTATGCCACATGAAGTAACAGTATATTCCCATGTTCTTCATCCCAGATAGATTCTGCATGTAATGGAGGTACATAAAGATAAAATAAAATTTTCTTCATGAGGAATCATCAATATCTGTAATAACATGTTGCGCTATGTTGTTTCCACTGCACTGTGGCGTTCTTTTCTACCCTATCTGACATTTCTGCATATATGAACTTTTGCCGTACTCATCAGTTTTAGTTCTGAACCGGTACAGTTCTAGTGCAGCACTAGTTCAGCTGAAAAAAACAGATCCCTAGTAGTATCTTGTTGCAACAAAATATATTTTAACAGGTTTTAGATAATTCCTTTTCTGTTTATAGGAATTTGGAATTTGAAAAAGGGTACTGTCTTTATCGTTTGAATCAAGTTTCTGAAGCATTGAAAGTAATAGATAATGTACAAAATCCTTCTTTAAAGATTAAAGAACTAAAAGCTCAAATATTGTATCGTCTAGAAAGATACGAAGAATGTTTTGCAGTATACAGAGACATTATCAAGAATTCACATGATGAATATGAAGAAGAAAGGGAAACTAATCTTGCCGCTGTGCTTGGAAATCTAGCAATTCAGGATTCTGTAAGTTCCTTGTGTCATAAAGCGATAAAAATTTACTTAGTATTGAGATAAAGTAGTGAAAAGAGTTTTGGTTTAACTTATGGTAAACATTATAGACTTTGGAAGTTCCTTCATTACGCGAGCACACTTATGAATTAATGTATAACGCAGCATGTCGTTTGATTGCGCAAGGAAGCAAGGACGATAGGACTTCCTTAATTGAAGCTGAAAAGAAATTGAAGATTGCTGAAAAAATGTGCAAGGAGGGCTTGGAGGAAGATGGAGCATCTGAGGAGGAAATTGAAAATGAACTGGGTGTAATTCGAGTACAACTTGGCTATTGCCTGCAGTTGCAGGGGCGAGAGAAAGAAGCTCAAGCGTTGTACACAGCTGCTTTGAAGGCCAAGCCAGACGATATCGCATTAGTCGCCGTAGCTAGCAATAATTTAGTATGTCTGAATAAGGATCAAAACGTCTTTGACAGTAAAAAGAGAATGAAAAGTGCCACTCACGAAAGTCTGGAACACAAATTGACCTCCAGGCAACGGAGAAACATCGCGTACAATCAATGTTTACTAGCATTTTTTACTGATCAAGTGAGTCTTTGTGCGGTACAACTGATAATAAGATGGTTCATTTGTCGGTCTGGTTATTATTTACAAAGACAAAATATATCTGTCATACATGTTTTTCAGGGTGAACAGTGCCACCAACTGTGCAATAATCTCGCAAAAGATCACGTTACGCTCGCGGCGGACGCGATGTTCGTGAAAGCTGTGCAACTTAGCAAGGAAGGCAAAGCGATAGACGCAATGAAATTGTTGACCCAGCATGCGGTCGGCGAGAAGGAATTACCCATGAAATTGGCTAGCGTGCAAGTACTTTTGAGTCAGGAAAAGAGACAAGAAGCGATCGCTGTCCTCGAGAACCTAAATGAAAGGGACAGATCCTTGCCAGGAATAGTCAGTGCGCTCGTGACGCTCCATATGGCCGATAACAATCGTGAAAGAGCATCGGATATTCTAAAGAACGCGGTCGCATATTATAAAAAGAACAAAGTATTCGTACTTGATATGTTATTGATACATTAATTGCAAATCGCGCGCCGATTTTTACACATGAGGAATTTTCTTCCAGGAAACCAACAAAAATCTAGGAGAATTATGGCGACAGGCTGCTAATTTTTATTTGCGGAGCGGAGAGCTCAAGATCGCTGCCGACATTCTGCAAGAATTGATCGATGCTTCGCCGTCGGATGTCAAGACTTTGGCTCAATTAGTAGTTGCTTACGTCCAATTTTGCCCGACTAAAGCGCAAGCGTTGTCCAAACGACTACCACCGCTTCACGATCTCGCTGAAACCATAGACGTGGACGCGCTGGAAAGTAGCAATTGGGTTATCGGCACCAAAGTAGTGAAGAAAAAGATAGAACCCTCTCCCGGGTAAAAATAATTATCTCGACTGCTTTGTTATTGTTATCGCGTAGCTTGGGATTGTATTGACTAGATATTTGTTTCGCCAGCAAACCGATATTAGATGCGATACAGAAGAAGCAGAAGAAGAAACGTAAACGCAAAGGTAAGCTGCCGAAGAACCACGATCCGAATATACCTCCCGATCCGGAGCGGTGGTTACCAAGACATGAGCGTAGCGGATTCCGTAAGAAACGCGACAGAAGAAACAGAGATGCCGCCATGAAAGGCACGCAGGGAGCAGCTACAGGAGCTAGTGATCTTTAGTACGTATATGAGTGAACGATGCGTTCTCGTTTTATGATAAATAGGCGATCAATCATCATTTCTGAAACAATGCGAAGTAACATATTGCTCTCGCTCATAGTGACATCACTAAAATGCCTGCAAATACCAAGCCTTCTCCGAATCCCCGTCATAGTCCAGCGGTGGAAACTTCTGGACCGCGTCAACAACAACGCAAAGTCCAGCAGAAGAAGAAGAAGAAAGGCAGCAAGTGGTAACGATTTTGATCGGATCATGTTAAACCTAACGTTTTCCCGATATATCAATCAGATTGTATAGTCCACCGGAAAAAAAGATGAAAGGAGCATTTCGTACTGTAAAAAATACAAACAAGAACAATCAAATGCATTTGCTACCGTGTAACTGTATTTATGTGTACGGGGGGTGCAACATTGGAATATAACATGTAATACTGCCATTAAAGAGAGAGACAAGATAAAAAATAAGGTGAAAAATATACACACGATGTATTATTGAGAAAGCATATTTCAAATGTTTCCGCCACTTGCCTGCGCGCCGATTTATTATCTACGTATCTAACATCGCATCTTCACACGTATAACAATGTAGACAGTGATATTAAACTCGTCTGTTAATCTTATCGTTGTTGAAAACTATATTTTGTCATTGACACCTTTTCCTTTTGCAATTTACAAACGTAGTTTGGAGTACTTGGGGAGAAATCATATATTAGGAGGTTGAATTAATTCTGGTCTTATTTTGCCAATTTTTAACCTTTATTTTAAAGAAATGGTTAAATTTATATCAGTCAAAATATTTTCTGTCAGCTGTGACTTTTTCCCATCTTTTCGCGACAGCGACTCCGCAACGATAGAACGATCTGTCTTTCGAAGCAATCCAATCGGACATTCATTTTTAAACATCCTCATAATTTCATGCTGCAAGATTGCAACATTGCAGAAACGATGCGAAATGTTGCTGCAATCTTGCAGCAAAGGTAAAATGTCCGCTTGCAGCAATATTGCAATAACATTGCAGTGCAATATTGCAGCAACATTTGTAATATAATTTATATGCAATAATGCTTTATATATATATACAGGGTGTTTGACAGCATCCTTATCAAAGCTAATATATATAGCTAGAATAGATCGTGGTTAGTAATGAAATCGATGTCTTTATTTAATCAACCACATGAAATTTTGAGATATTAACGATAAAAAATTTCTACCAAGAATAGAAATTGGTAGAATTTTTTCTCTTGGTAGAAATTTTTTATCATTAATATTTCAAAATTTCACATGGTTGATTCTATTCTAGCTATATACTAGCTTTGATAAGGATACTGTTAAACACTCTGGATATACTATGTCTGTACTCTGTCTTATATGTCCCAAATTCCCCATTGCAGATATTGGGTTGGCAACTAAGTGATTGCGGATTTTGTCGACAGATGGATTTTACACTTTCTTTTGTTTCGTTAACGTGTTCAAAGTACCTAACCTATATTTTTTTCTTATTGTTTGGACTTCTACCTTTCATTTAGTACAAAAATTATATCGATTAGTTCTTTAGTTTTGTTTTTATCCCAATTTAAAAATGGAAGAGCAAGACGTGCACTTCAGACATATTTTATTATATTATTTCCGAAAAGGCAAGAACGCATCGCAAGCACACAAGAAGTTATGTGCCGTATATGGGAATGAAGCCTTGAAAGAAAGGCAGTGTCAAAATTGGTTTGCCAGATTTCGTTCTGGTGATTTTTCATTGAAAAATGCTCAACGATCTGGCCGTCCAGTTGAAGTCGATGAGACCCATATCAAGGCCATTATCGACTCAGATCGTCATAGCACAACACGTGATATTGCAGAGAAGCTCAATGTATCGCATACATGCATTGAAAAAAATTTAAAAAAGCTTGGCTATGTCAAGAAACTCGATCAATGGATCCCTCACCAGCTTAAGGAAATTCATTTGGCGCAACGCATTAGCATCTGCGATTCGCATCTGAAACGCAACGAAATTGATCCATTTCTGAAAAGACTAATTACTGGCGACGAAAAGTGGATAGTTTATAACAACATTAATCGGAAGAGATCGTGGGTGATGCAAGATGAACCAGCTCAGACGACATCAAAAGCAGAGATTCACCAAAAAAAGATTATGCTGTCAGTCTGGTGGGATTATAAAGGAATTCTGCACTTTGAACTTTTACCAAACAACCAAACGATCAATTCAAACGTGCACGTTCAACAACTCGCCAAACTGAGCGATGCAATTCAAGCAAAGCGGCCAGAAGTGGCAAATCGTAAGGGTGTTGTTTTCCACCATGATAATGCAAAGCCCCACACATCTTTGGTCACTCGCCAAAAATTATTGGATCTGGGTTGGGATGTGTTGTCACATCCGCCATATAGCCCTGACCTTGCGCCTTCAGACTACCATTTATTTCCTTCCATGCAGAACTCCTTAAATGGTAAAATTTTTAATGACGCTAATGATGTCAAATCACACTTAATTCAGTTTTTTGATAGCAAAGATCAGAAATTTTATGAACGTGGAATTATGACACTGCCTGAACGATGGCAAAAGGTCATCGACAAAAACGGACAGTATCTAATTGAATAAAGTTATATTTTTAAGCAAAAATTTTGAATTTTCATTCTTATTTAAAATCCGCAATCACTTAGTTGCCAACCCAATATTATCATGTTCATCTTGAAATTTGACCCAATTGGCCTCCAAAACTTTTAATCGAGTGTTAATTAGTTGACGATTAGTTAAAGCAGATTGATTGTCAGTCGCCTCTTCGACTGAACGTTGTATTAAAGAAAATCGGGTTTCTTGTTGAGATATTCGATATTGTAGATCGGCCATGATGTAGTATAACGAACTTATGTCCGAACAACGCTTTCTGTCCGTCACCGATATGAAAGGAACGAGATCACAATCGGTAACCGCTGTCAGAAATGAACTGCATGCTTGTGCGTCACGAAGTACAAACCGATAACACGCTTGAACGTCTGAGTTGCAATAACTGATAAGCACTTTTATCGCTCCCGAAACTTGGCGTAACACAATTCACGCGAACAAACTAATCTGGCTCGAAGGACCAAAAAATGTTGGAATATAAAGATCTGGCACTGTCTGTTTGCATATTTTAATGGGAAAAGAAAACTCGACGACAAAAAATAAAATTGGTGGCCCGAGGAAGGCCGAACGGCGGTAAATCAAGAGCACTGGAACGGCGGTAAACCGGGGGTCCGACGATTCCGAGGAAGACCAATCGTGGGAGCGCAGGAAATCCGGGAAATCAAGAAACTGATGTTCCCAGGGAAGATCAGATGGCGGAACGCAGAAACACCGGGAAGCCGATGATCCCGAGGAAGAACAGTCGGAGGGAATGCAGGATTATGTAGGAACTCAGGAAGCTGTCGATCCAGGGAAGATTAGGCGGCCGGAACGCAGGAGCTACGGGAAAAACGTGACGCTTCAGATCGCTTCTCAAATGCAAGTGGAGACCAAAAGAATACACCTCGCTCGAGATAACAACTCTCAAATATTTCTGGTTGCCGAACATCTGAAACATAAGAATGAAGCCTCATTGGCGCGAGCAATAAATTCGGATAGCTTTGCAAAAATTCGAAAATCTAGAAGGTTGCAACGAGCTGCGAGATATCGCTGGACTCGTGCGACATCGTTAGCCAGCGAACTACGAAAGCTCGCCATGTATCTCCGCCGCCGTGGGCTAACGAACGAGTCCTCAGACTCAACTCTTTTTCGAAAGTCTCCACCGAAATTTCGAAAATTTCCTGTAATAATGAAAGAATGATTAAAACCAAAATATTATCTTACTGGAAATATACGATTCACTGGCGTCGTTTTGAGTTGCTCAGGATTTCTCAACAAATGTCAAATCTTCTAGTGTTGCCAGATTTTAACATTCGTACTAACCATTAACTTGTTACCAAAGCCATCTATTGCTAGGGACCAGAACTAATTCAATTTCCTAATAAATACAACGCAGACTAAAAATTGGTGTGAATTGTACTATATAAAATATTTTTATTTCTTTCTCAAAAGTTCCTCAGTTAACACATCACATATCAACACATGTTAATAACATATCTTTCGCGTACATTGACTAGGGGTAAGCGATACACACATCTTTATGTTTTGTCGATAACAATTATATATGAAAAATACAATCTGTTCTCTCTCTTTCTTTCTCGTGCTATTCGGTAACACTTAGTCTGCGGTACGAATAGATAATATGATTGTGCGTTGATTTGTAACATTTATAACAGGTATATCAGTGGCATGAGTGAAAATTATAAACGTTTCATACCGACATATTACATTATTTATGATGCCACCATTTTTTTGATAAAGTTATATCAAGTTCCGCCGTTGGACTGTACAAGATCATGCAAAGATGTATTTTGATATATCGCTACGTGATGAATCGTTGTATGTCGTGAAAGTATCGCCTCTTACAACTTATTGTCTCGCAATTAAACTGCACCACACATTATCACTCGTTTGTCGCGCGTAAACTCAACACTGTGACAGCCATCGAGATAATAACATCTCAGTTTACAATTTTCTAAAATGTTACGAGTGCGAGCTGTGCTAACACGTCGGTTTTGTTTTCACATCAGTAAAAAAAACTTACACTTTCGCATCGGAAGGCGTTCATGCTACCGTTAATATTTCCGGCTCTGAGTATTTTTTTCTTCGTGATACGTTTACAAAATATTACTCGTAAAGTGTTATCGTCTTACAAGTAGTAAAGGATAATTATTCGATATTCTAAGTAATCAGATATTTAACAATCGCAATATCTGTATATTGAACTTAAAGTTGTATGTCGAATCGTCTACCGAGAGAAATAGATAAATCATCGCGGATGAGTCAGAATCGACGCATTGGTAAATTAGCGAATTTATATATGCATATAAGTTGTGTGTCTGATAAATTGTCTTTATTTCTAACTATAACGTAAAAGATAAATAAGTAAGGCACAACTGTATGTGCAGACGTTTCACGAGAGCGCCTGCAACCTCAAGGCGAGCATGTGCTGAACGAATGAACAACGAACGATGGTGTTTGGGCGTTCGTTTCTTCACATATTGATACGAAGAGTATATCCTTCGGATAAAATAAAAGACAAATGGCCATTTTAGAAAAACAAATCCAAAGGACAGAGCAGCGACATAAAAGGCCTTTTTAAATAAAGGATGCTCATATAATAATGCTCACCGTATTGATCATTTTAGAGATAAGGTTTATCACAATCACTGATTTAGAATAAGAAAACAAAAGCGCACATACATAATATGGGATAACATCTTTGTACTGGCGTTCACATGGACTTTCATCAACGTGCCGCTTTGTAAACGAATCGAATCAAATCGAATTTGCATTAAAACGACCTATTATAGACTCCCATCAAACACATCTTCCAACTGCAGCGGCGGAAGTTTGCGTTCGCTGTTCGTTCATTCACCGCCTGCCCATCTTTAAGCGTCATTGACCGTGCTGATGCAAGGATAACACTACGCGAATCCTGTGAACTATATCAATTACGCAACCGCGATGACATGTATAAAGTGTGTAGTACGAGAAGATACATTCAGTCCCGCGGGTATCTTACCATAGATACATAGATAGTTGCTAAAAGTTTTCAGTTAGTCACATCAGATTCTAGCTGCACATTTTTTGTGACTGCGATTGCGAAAGCAGGAACATATCTAAAACAGCAACGATATTCCGACAACTTGATGCTTCAGATGAGTCAATAAACAAAATTATTTGTTCACGTACTGTAACACGCGATTAGTAGAAGAGTGAAGATGCTACAAAGAGAATGAGCGTGAGAAATTAATAATCTAACTAAATTAATCATCACGTTTTCGTTCAATTCTGGCCATTCTTTAAAATAATCTTCCACTAATTCAAACTTGTTGCTGTAAATTAAAATCAGCTCATAATTATTTGTATAATTATCACAAAATTATATATATATATATATATTTATAACTAATTATTTATATTAATCTTATACATTAATCTTTTATTCCTTTTAACATTCTCAGTTTTCTTCTGCTAATCGTGTGTTATATGAAAACGGATAAATCTGTTTATTGATGTTACTGATGTTTGAATGTTACTGTTGCTTCCTTAAACACATACCTGCTTCCTATATTAATCAAGTCGTAAGAAATATATAGCTACAGTCCAGTGCGGCTGACCGAAAACTTTTGATAATTATCGATCTATCGATGATAAACATCCGTGGAACCGAGTGCACAAATGATTTTTATAGATACTCTCATATTAATAGGATGCAATGCTACTTCCCAGGTATGATGCCTTCCCAGACATCTTCTCGTTGTTTGTTGGCTAATCGTCTCTTCTCTATAATGCAAAAGAACAATCCTTTAGTAGTTTTAAGCATTTTCTCTTATCGTTAAGACTACCAAACGCTCAAAAATGATCATTTTTGTAATTTCATACAAAGTAGTTTGTAATTTTATATAAAAATTATTCAGATTTACATAACAAAATGCATTTTATATTTCGATGGGCGTTGAACAGAGCTAAAAGAAATAAGCGAACACTTTTTTATTCTTATGTAACGTATCTTTTTCGAGAGCCATTTCGACCGCTCTCGTAAAAATAGATCGCCCAATTAGTCGCGATAATTCCGGTAAAAGTTTACCAATGTTGCATTATCGTTTCTTACATCACATACATATCACCGGATTATACAATAGAAGGTCTCCAAAACTTACCTTTCGCCTCGCGCAGTACATTCTTTTCATGCTCGCGTTCTTGTCTAGCTGTAGCGAGCTTCACACCCAACGCACCTGTGACTAATCTCCTAGCTAAAGCGGCGCACGTCTCGGGACGATTCCTATAAGGTTGCAAAAATTCCGCGCTTTTTCTCGCCTTCGTTTTGCTCAAAGCGCTAGCTTCGCTGAGTGGTCTCGTTTTCACGAATGGATGATCGGATGCTAACACTTCGGCGGCTTAAAAGAAATCAAAGAAGCGAAAAGGAAATACAGCTAATTGCAATAACACTGAACGTAAACACTGACCATCAGTTACTTAGATATCACGACTTCGATCGTATCGTTAGTATCAGAGACGCAAGGCGATAGCAAGATTTCTCGGTGTTTAAATCTCCCCTTCGCGTTCGCAATTTCGTTACGTGTTTCAACGAGAATATATACGTAGAACTTATATATTACGTAACGGGAAAAAATCAACGTAATTACATAGATAACGAAACGTGCATACCAATGAGAGGACTGCTGAAGACTCCCAAGCAGTGGGTGTCGTCTACCCACTTGAGTTCAAAGCCACCGTTCCTGAAGGGACTAAAAACAGCCGCTAGATCGCTAGTCTTAAATTCTGAGGGGAAATTGTAAATCTCTACAACGTGTGCGAATTCGTCGCTGGACACTTGGACCTGTTTGGTGTACGCCTTGTAATCATTCTTTGGTTGCTCCACCATTACTTCACCCACTGCCGACGTAAGCTACACAAAAAGACGGATAATCGATTAAGCAGCTTCGGTATAAATGGGGAAAAAAGAGATCGTCGTGCTTCACAGTTATCAATCCTTAAAGGCTATCACAGGTGAAATTGCATCCCATGCGAAAATCTTTTTGATCTTATTAAGTGTTAAATTATTCGCTGCGAATAATAATTTCTCTACTTTTCATCTAATATTTAATAATAGTACATAAAGTAGTACAATAAAATAGTATAATAAAACATTTAATTGCCTTTGATTGACACTTCTAATTTCTAAAATAAGAATATATACACTGGGATAAAATTTCACCCATAAGCATTAATGTGATTTTCTTTGATGATAGCTTTTAAGGCTTAACATGAACACATGCGTACAGCAATGTGCGACGTGTACTAACCTCCTCTATCAACGTTGGATCAAGACAATCTCCGTTGTCATCGAACAAACTATCCCAATCGCACTCATCTCTATTTATTTTCAAAGGCGGAGAAGGTGGCGGGGCTGGTTTACTCTTCGGTCTCTCGATCTTTTTCACTTTCTTTTCAGGTGACGTTAAAATCGCCGGGACTTGCTCGGTGTTTTTCGGTTTGTCCTCGACAATATCGGAAATTATCAACACGTCCGACATCACGACGTTCCGCCTGACTAGTCGTTCGTTTTGATCGCTCGTCGTGTTGTTGCTACTCAAACGCTCCGCTGTCGGCTGGCATTCTGTCACGGTTGACTGCGACGTTTCTAATTGTTGATCGTTGACTTCAATTTTATCGGACGACTCTAATAAACTGGGATTAGTATTATTACTTTCGTTAAGGCTATTAGTCGCCACGGTCTCCATTTGTTCCGGTAAAATTGGCACATCTTCCTTCGGCACTTCCGACAGTTTACGAGTATACTCGACATCATCGTTTGTTTCATGATTGACGACTTTGTCGGAATCTATATTCTCCGGTACCTTCTGTGGCAATCGATTATCCTCGATATTCGAACTGTGGCTCTCGGGCAACTTGTTATCTAAGCCCGAATCGCTTGTACTTTGTTGAATGCAACATGCATCCTGTGCTTGAGAATTGTCATTCGTATTTGGATCCCTACTCGATGTGGCGTAATTTGTACAAGAAGATTTTAGATTTCGTGGCCTCTTTTCTTCGGCTTCCAAACTCCTACGGTGCCTAGGTATGTAAACCGCTCGATCAGGCCGCCTTTGCCGTGTATTTCTAAAATTGCAAACATGTCGATTAACGTTTATTCAAAATACAGTTTACGTCGATCTTGATGTTAATAGAGTAAGGGGCGAAAAAAAATCAATTGGGGCGATTTTATTACAAAATTATTGAAATAAAAGTTAATAGAAATCATTATTATATAATTATTAATAGATCAATAGAATATTATTACTTAGAGGATGTTATTAGAGAAAATATATATATATATAAACTTTTTTACTCTATTTGGTCTCAAGAATATTTTGTTACAATAGCGCCCTGACTTTTGTTAATTTAATGATTTTGAAAGTTCTAAAAATTGATAAGTTAACAAAAGTTAGTGCGCTATTGTAACAATATATTCTTGAGACAGAGTAAAAAAGTCTAGTACTATTTTCTCTTCCGATAAATAGTTGCCGAGATATCGTAAACTAAAAATCTTGAAAAATTACCAATTTTCCTTAAATATCTCAAAAAATATTAGGCAAATAAAAAAAATGTTTTAGACAAAAGTTGTCCAAATTAGCAGAAAAAGGTGATGCAATAAGAAATTGGGATTTAAGAAAAGTAATGATCAGTGAATAATCAGTGAATAGCTTGAAAGTAGTCGCCATCTATAATCAAAATGATATAGTTGTTTTAGTTGTCCCTCTTGAAACCATACAATTTTTATCTGAAATGTTTCTTAGTATCTTTCATATTTTTCAAGATTTTTGCCTAGCTCATTTAAAATGGAACACCTTGTATAGTAGAATATTATTATCATTATACAGAAGATTATAGATATTAATAGCCCATAGAAAAAATTAAAAAATAAAAAGACGATATAACAAGCAAAATTAAATAATATAGCTCTATGCAATTTTATACAGGATATCTGGAAAATCGCCTGCAATACTTTGGGACCTAAAAAGAAGGAGAAAAAAGTTATATAAACAGGTCGGAAGTAAGTCGTTTCCGAATTATAACTACTTTTATATTAAAAATATCGTAATTCATTTTTGTTTTTTTAATTCACAAATTTTTTCGCATTTTTAAATTTTGTTAAAAATTAATTTTTTTATTTTTCATTATTTCTTATGCTTATTAAATGTTTATGGAGTATGGGATAAAAATGTATGGATAAGTCGAACAATTCGGTTATGAAAATTTCAAGCCGAGTAGAACGATATTTAATTTTAATAGTTTTACAAGCGTCTGAGCGTCTGATTAATCGAATGTTTTGTAATTCAATTGTAATGGTTTTGAAGTAGCAAATAGCTGTAGAAAGCAAGTTCATTTGTAGCTTTATGAGTCCGAAGTTAGAATTCATTTCTTTTTCATTTTCCACTTTTCATTCATTCATTCAAGACCATTTTCCATAAGTTTCACATTATTATTTAGCAACACCTTATTTATCCTAAGTAGTTTGAGATTGAGTATCTAATCTTTCTGTAATCAGCAACTAATCGTTTGAATTTTAATGAATTAGCTGATATGCATCTTATGTATATTCTTGCTTAAGGTCAATGCTACCGAGGCAAGATTATATGCCTAATTTTTTCCAAATCGATATGTATCGGGAAAAGAGTCTTTCCAAAATGTAGACAGAAAATTTGGTATATTAAAAAAGAGAACAAGTGAGGGCAGACCTAGAGCAGATGTTATAACGGAAGAAGAAGTACTTGAACAATTTGAGTGTGACCTTACTAATGTTAGAATTGTTTCGGATGAAATCGGAGTACCAAAATCAACAATATGGGACATCTCATCAAGATTTAAATTACGTTTGTTTTAACATAAAAGTGGTTATAACTCGGAAACGACTTGTTTTCGGACCTATATCTATATATAGTTTCTTTCTGACTCCCGAAGTATTGCGGACGATTTTCCAGACACCCTGTGTAGTAAGCCTTACTTGACCGACGGAGAATCCGCAGTCGACTGTATTTGCGTCCCGCTCGCCTGCGAGCAATTATTGGCTCTCCTGGCCGCCGGTGGCCTGTAGATTTCGACCGCCGGTACCAACTTGGCTGAAAAGCAAAATGAAAAGAAAAAAGAAAATCCCCAAACCCTTCACAATTCGTTTCCTCTCTAAGACTTCACCTCGATTATTAATTAATTCAAGCTCATAATCACCTTGTCGCTGTACTTGCGCGTGTTCCGGAGACGTCGAGGACGATCGTCGATCTTCAACACCCATCTTGCGAGTCGCGTCCACTTGTTTCGCCGTAGGACTCACTTTCGACTCAAGGGCATTCGTTTTCGGCTCCCAGTCCCTTTAACAGTAAAAATGATGGCACGTGAAACCCTTAGAATATCGAGGAGATACGACGTGTCATGATGGTGATGACCGAGAAACACGAATGGGATGGCAATCGAGAGATAATCGGGGAGCGATCGGCCGGTCGAAATTACTTTCGTTCGCGGTCGCACAGCGCGCTCGCAAAATTACACACTCGTCGTGTCGCCACACACGATAAGAAGAAAGCTGAGGAGACAGCTGACTGCGAAGAAACGTCGCTGTCCGACGTAGATACGCGGACGACGCACGACCTCGACGGCGTCGAGCGTGATCGGAGCATCACGGGGAAATCATCGACGAGAAAATGGGAAACGCGGGTGAGAGCGAGCGCTCAAGGATAACGAGAAGAGGCGAGCGCGCGCTCCTTCTCCACGGAGGAAAATCGCGGGGAGTCTCTACGGGAATCGAAATCGAAGCGCTGGTGTCTCTCTCTCTCTCTCTCTCTCTCTCGCTCTCTCTCTCGCTCTCTCTCTCTCTTTCTCTCTCTCTCTTTACTTTCGGGGAAGTACCTTCTCAAGTCGCTCTTGTAGCATACCACGGTACGCCTGTCCACGCCTTGGCCGATCGAGAAGGTGTGCAATAGCTCCGAGAAACGCTCCTGCACCAGCTGGTGTATTATGTACCGGCGATAGTTGTTCACGGGCGGAAAGACGAGCACTCTGGAAAAGTGAAAAGAGGGAACACGTTTCCACCTGTGGAAAGTGAGACTGGGCGAGCTGCGGACAGGGAAGAAGCGTGCCCGCTTGTCCGCGGCATCGCCACGGCTCGAATATCCGGCTTATTCGTTCGTTCCTTCAGCGCGCTTTGATGAACGTAACGCCTTACGTCGCGCTCAACGTCCCCGCGGTGGCGGTGGCGGTGGCGGCGGCGGCGGCGGCGGCCGATGGAGGAGGGGGCAGGTGAGCGGGGCTCAGGCGGGAGAGGACGAGACCTTCTCGCAACCGCCAGCTAACTTTTACGTAACCCTTTCACTTTCTCCTTCGTTGGTCTCCATCGACTATCAATTTCTACGCGGCGAGCGCGACAGCCTCTGCCGAACGCGAACGTCAACACGCCTCTCTTTTTCAGTCGGTTTTTTGGTCTCCTCGCATATTGAACGAGCGGCGACACGCTACGTCCGCCGATAGCATTGTATCAGTAAATGCTTTTTCTTCAAGCCGCGAAACTGCATTACGCCGCTGCGACCGCGGACGAAAGTGCTGGCTCGTTTCCTCGCATATCTCCCAAAAACGCGGGGCCTTCGTGAGGGAAACGTTGACGAGTGTAACGCGACGCTCTTCTCTAATCTCTTCTAAGGACCTTTTCCTACACTGAGAAAAAATTGTATTAAAATTAAACAAATATTTGTTCGAATACGGCTATGAATACATTTATTTAAATTAAGCAATTATTTTCTAAAATTAAAAAAAGTTTACGTTCAAAGAACCTCTGTATTTCATTTTAGAAATTAGTCGCCTAATTTGAACAAATGTATTCACAGTCGTATTCGAACAAATATTTGTTTAATTTTAATACAATTTTTTCTCAGTGTACAATTACCTTCTGAATCCTTGCGTATTTATCCTAATCAACTGAACACCGGAACTCCAGTTTCCCTATTATCACGAAAAACGTATGAAATCTTCACTATTCTATTTCTATTTGCCTTTAGTCTACAATGATATATCTTCTTATCCCTGAGGAATTTTATCTCGGAGAAATTCTGCAATACAGTCTCCATTTTTCAAACTTAAACTTAAGGTTCACGATACAACTTCCATGTAAATCATATCTTCCCTCCTGAACAGCCAGTTCCTGATTCATCTAACATTGTTCACCTTCAAATAAATTATCTGGTAATTTAACTACACTGTAAGAAATAATGTGTTAAATTTAACATATTTCATGTGTCTCAAGTCATCCACTCTCATTTATATGTTAATTTAACATACAGCAAATATGTTAGAAAATAACACACATAATATGTAAAAAATTAACACAAAAATTTAACATTTAAATGCCGTCAAGAATTATAGTTTGTGTTAAACTGACATATAATGAATGTTACTTCAACATTTGGGAAAAGTAATGATCTATGATTTAATGAAATGAAAATGTTAGATTGACATAATCTATGTGTTAAAAATCCAATCTTCACATACCAGAAATGTTAATATTATACATTTAACACATGATAACTATTATAATGAGGAAAGTAACACATTTTAGATGTTGACTTCAACATATAAAATATATCATAGCAAGAATTCATGCATTTACATATAAATTGTGTTATTTTAATACTTGGAAATGTCATTTTAACACTTGAAAATAGATAATCTTAAATTAACACGAGAAAGTTTAGGTAACACACAACGATATGTTAAATTAACATACGACTGTAAAAAATTTAACAAAACTTTCTACACACAAATAATTTTAACAAAAGTACGAAATGTTTTTAACTGTGTAACGTTAAATAGCTGACTTGCGTTGTTCCATCTTTCGATAAAATTTATATCTCTGGTAAGTGACTAATTCTGAGTGATATATTACACGGTACGTAGAGTACCGTATAAACCATTTATCTGATAGATAAATATATGGTGGGGATAAAAAGCGTATGATGCATTGGTTAGGTTATCCGAAATATTATTTATTTACATATTAAAATGGAACCAGAATTATGCGAAAATCAACTTCTTTATGGTGACGAAGATGACAACGAAGAAATTGATTTAGAAATAATGATTAATAGCTCGATTTCTTTATTAGAGGAATTAGAACCTCTTTCTCTTTTTTCTTTGGTTCGGCCATCTACTAGCATAAATTATTAAAATATTATTTTAAAATGTTATCATTTATCATATATTTGTCGCATATATATAAATGTTATATTTTACCTGTATTCTATTAATGTAAAAATTTTTTAAACTAATGTAATTATATCTCGCTAAATTATAAAGGTTATGACTGTTAGATCTTTTTTTTCAATATAGTGATATCAAATCACCGTGCTTTCAGCTCTGCCCAAGGAATATACAGCTATATGATATAAAACTTAGTTAGATCCATCACGACAAGTTATGTATGTACCCATTTGAAGTTGTTGACAATTGTTTCTGAAAGTAATTATCGCGATATATCGCTTTTAAACTATAGGTAACTACCAATAGGATAAATAACTGTAAAACAATAACCGCGTTCAGCAGAAAAAACTGCTTATTAAGCGTTTAGTGATTATCGTTCCTGACTGGTTCATTCCCCTGGATTCGTTAAAGATTTAAAATAATACTCCAATCATAGATAATAATCACTAAGCGCTTAGTAAACAGCTTTTTCTGCTGAATGCGGCCAATGCTCATGTTTAACTAACTGATAAATTCCCCGATAAAATTTATCTTATAAATAGTAATCTGTCAGATAAGCTGAAATTTATCGAAAGATGAAATAACCGGGTCTAAAGGGTCCGTTACGATTAATGACAGAAAATGAGTGAAAATGACAGAAGTAAGCAATTCACCGAGTTACGGTTAACTTCACCTCGTGAAAATACGAAACTACTCGCGTGAGTAGACTCGACACGAAAAGGTGAAGTGACGCGATAAGATAAGTTTGTCTCACTCTAACTTATCACACCAGTGCAGTTGAGAAGAACATTAAAGAACAATAACGAAGAGAAACTGTTTCCACATAACGGGTAATTTATTCTAATCTAATAATAAGAATAATTAATGTTAATATTAATTTAATAACATGTTTTTCTGTTTTCCCGTAATGTTTATTTTATTTATTATTTCTCTATCTCTGATAAGTATCTCAAAGTATTAGTCACCACAATAAGCGGTTATCAACACATGCCTCTTAGATAATTTCTCTTTGTTAACAAATTTGTTGCAATTTATCTTAACTTTTATAATTGTTGCCAAACTGTCGCTAAACATGCAACAGAGCTTACTGCCGGACAATTTACGGTAAAAACCGCGTAAACCTTGCTATGCATAATACCTGGTGCTAGATTTGCACGATTTTTGCTGCAATTTACCCGTAATTTATTTGTAATCCTTGACATCAAAACACGAGCTAAATGCGGACACAGATGGTTATGATTTTGGTACGGACTTTTCATCGAATTTGCTGCAAATTTGTTTACTCAATTTATCAATTTGTTTACTGGGTACGGAATAACTACTCAATAAATTTCCTTCATCGGTATATGTGCGCGCCAATGGTATACTAGACTTTTTAAACTAATGTAATTATATCTCGCTAAATTATAAAGGTTATGACTGTTAGATCTTCTTTTCAATATAGTGATACCAAATCATCGTACTTTCAGCTCTGTCCAAGGAATATACAGCTATATGGCACAAAACTATTAGATCCATCACGACAAGTTATGTACAGAGTGTTAAATTTCAAACGTAACAGGTAAAAAATCTCGAAAACTATGAAAGATATTAAAAAAAGCTAAAACACGTGTTTCATGATTTCAAAGGGGAAAGAGAATGGCATTATCAGTTTTTTATTTGGAAGGTATTTTCAAAGTCAGTTGAAGGTCAACTTAATTTTTTTAAATAGAAAACCTAATTTTTTATTATATCTTCTTTTTCTACCAACTAATTTGAACAACTTTTGTCTGAAACATTTTTTTATTTGCCTAATATTTTTTGAAATATTTAAGGAAAACTTAGTAACTTTTTCAACATTTAACTTACGATATCTTGCTACTTTTGTTAATTTAATAATTTTGAAATTTCCAAAGGTCGATAAATTAACAAAAGTTAGGGCACTTTAGGCATTATAGTAATATATTCTTCATAGTAAATAAAGTAAAAAAGTCTAATACTATTTTTTCTTTCGACGAATAGTTAGCGAGATATCGTAAGTTAAATGTTGAAAAAGTTACCAAGTTTTCCTTAAATATTTAAAAAAATATTAGGCAAATAAAAAAATGTTTCAGACAAAAGTTGTTAAAATTAATTGGTAGAAAAAGAAGATACACAGAAAGAACGATTTAGTTGAATCTAACAAATATTTATTTGGAATAGTTGAGATAAATTTTTTGATTGATCGAACAAAATTTTGTTTGACGCAACAAAAACATTTCGTTGGAGCTAAGTTGCAACAAAATATTTTTGTTGTGTCAAACAAAACTTCGTTCGATCAATCAAAAAATTTATTTGGACTATTCCAAATAAGCATTTGTTAAATCCAACCAAATCGTTCTCTCTGTGTATAATAAAAAATTGGGCTTTCTATTTTAAAAAATTAAGTGACCTCCAACTGACCTTGAAAATGTCCTCCAAATAAAAAACTGATAATGCCATTCTCTTTCCCCTTCGAAATTATGGAACACGTGTTTTAGCTTTTTTTAATATCTTTCACAGTTTTCGAAATTTTTTACCTGTTACGTTTGAAATTTAGCACCCTGTATACACCCATTTGAAGTTGTTGACAATCGTTTCTGGAAGTAATTATCGCGATATATCGGTTTTAAACCACAGGTATCTACCAATACCAGGAAAACTCAGATTTCTTATGTTTAGATGTTCAGATGTCTATGTTTGTACGAATTCCGAACAAAACCCCTTGAGAGGGGGGCCGTCCGCGCCGTCGTGCCACCTTGAACTACAAGGAACGAATAGAGTGCGCTGCATTATCACGTAAACACGTGGTTACGTGCGATTATCAGCATACATAACCACGTGCGCGCGTACGAGCGATTGCGAATGTTGTCAACATACATCGAGAGCGTAACGAGGAGAACATGTGGCGCTGAGACGAAGACCTGCGCAACGCGAATCGTATGCAAATGCTGATCGGTGTGAAAGTGGTAGAATGTGTCGAAAGAAGAAACAAGATCGTACGGCGTAGCGCTCTGCGCGAAACGTCAGCGAAGACGATGTCTTTTGCTCCGCTCTGTAAATCATATCAGAGGCCTATAAAAGGTTGCATCAGATATAATTAGCTCAGAAGTAGAGTCATCTTACAGATGAAACAATTAACTGAGAGTTGGTAGAAAATGGTAGGCAACAATGGCTGATATCTTGAACATGGCACATGAATGACTTTATTGCTTTAACAAGAAGAAATGTGACTAAAAATCCGACACTCTCATGTGTGGCTCGTGATATTACATAATTTCACTCTAATGACCCACAAAAGAACATACTCTTGTGATCTTTAGTCGCTTGTATAGTCGCATGGATCGAGAAGAAATCTATGCAGAACCTTCGCGCAGGCTAACTTTGCACCGAAAGAAATCTAAGCGAGCTGCAATTAGTATATCGTGAGTAAGAGCGATGTTTTTTTTCTTCAGCAAGGCTATCTCGTCGTGACATTTCTTCTCGTCGTGTAAAATCGTTTCAGAAAGAACAGCACGTGCGTGCGGATATCTTTTTTGTTCATCGCATGTGCCTACGTCGTGAAGTGCACACAGCAACGTACCAAAATAGCCGAGATAAAACTGCACTGCTTCGCGTATCTTTCGCAGATAGCCGCGTCGAAGATAACCTGCAAAAAACGGCCTCGATATCGTTTCCGATCCCGAGTCGCCGATGCCGATGTCGATGTGGCTTCGCGTTAAACGGATTATTCTCTCGTACCTTTTGCGCGTTTTATTCCTCGCGAAGATGGTCACGTCGTCTTCGACATCTTCGGCGAACAGGCTATCTTGCAAACTCATTTATCGGATCAGTTCCTGGTTTTTGCGTTCTCGAAGACGCACCCGCGATTGCCGGCACGCATTCACTGCTACCTGCCGCGCACAAGTGTCTTTCGACCTCGGTCTCGATTTTACCGAGCTGTTATCGCATATATAAACGCCGTATACATCACACAATAAACTGCTCCGCTGAGAGTCTACGCAGCCGACTGCGCTATATTTTTGTAAAGTGGAAACTAACGGCTCGTGCACATGCCACGCGACGGTACGTTCCACTAGAGTCTTGAATGATCATAGAAGCCGAAGATTCGCTTGTTGATTGGCTGACCGCGGCCTCAATTAAAACTAGAAATGTCGAGCCCACAGCTAATGGTCACGTTCAGCGGAGAAAATTGCTCCGCTACCACTCAGTAGCAAATGTTCATGATTGGAGAATTCTTTTAAATTTTTGGCAGGTCCGAACAGACGTACCAATCAGAGAACGGTAGCGAAGCAGTTTTTTCCGCTGAACGCGACCATTGGCTGCGTTCCGAAATTCATTGCCAGTATTGAAAATACATAGTTTGTGTCGCGTATACTATACAATTTCAGTGCTGGCAATGAATATCGAAACGCAGCCAATATTTTCGAGTAATGCTCGGCTGCTTATTTTCGGAAATTTGTGAAAAATATCGTATACGATATTTCATCAATGGGGCAATTTAATTGGTTGAGAATCATGATATCTAGTGACATTCATGAAATATCGTGTGTGACAATTTTCGAGAATACAGGCTCCGAATCCTTATTTTCGGAAATTTTTGAGAAATATGGTATACAATATTTCATGAATGGGACAATTTAATTGGCTGAGAATCGTGATATCTAGTGATATTCATGAAATACCGTATGTGATATTTTTCAAGAATACGGGTTCCTTATTCTCGAAAATTTATAAATTTAAATGGTAAATTAATTTAAATTGTAAATTTGAAAAATGTATACGATATTTCATCAATGAGGCAATTTAATTGGCCGAAAATCGTGATATCTAGTAATATTCATGAAATATCGTATGTAACATTTTTCAGGGGAATATAGGTCTCGTTTCTACCAACTGTAGTTAATTTAACCGGCTGATTGTTCCATTAGAATTAACCAATCATATTTACCAATGCTGATTGATGAAAGATGCAATTAGTCGATTCCGTTGGAATAACCAGCCAGGTAAGTTAACAAAGTAGATAAAAACAGGCATAGAAAAGATTAATATTTGTAATCAAGAGACACGGTAGTGTCTCGCGCCAAGTGAACGCGTGAGCGAGGTGGCGAGACTGAACCGTGTATTATTATACGAATCTTCTAGTTGATCATAGGAATATTTTCGTATACCGCTATAACGGCTGAACCGATTAGGTTCTGCATAAGCTCAATCGATTCCGCAGGGTCTAATTATATAAGAAAACAATCTTCATTTTTGCTCTATATGTCCTGTGAACTAAGAAATTTATTCTCAACGAAATTCTCGAATATTCCCGTACGAAATCGTGAAATTTACGAATCGTTCAACAAATGTCCGACTGACTTTACTTCTACTAGAGGGCGTCACGAGGTCACGCGGCTACAAAACGGTCAGTTAAAACTATATCATATAAATACATATTCATAGACCATTCAATTAACGATCACGAATCAAGTCGCCTGTCGCATATTTTAAAACTCCAAGCTGCCTTGTGGTTGGTGCGTATGTGTGTGTAAGTGAATAAGTGTGCGTGCGTGCGTGCGCGCGTGTGTGTGTGTGTGTAGTAGGTTTTACTTCGAATGAGATCGGGCAATATATCTTTTGGCGAAAAGGCCGGCGGTCGTTTATATTTCCTTGGAAAATACAGCTTGATTTGAGCAGGGATTATAAAAGGAGGAACGCAACGTGATTTGTTGCATCCCGATACACAAGCCGCGTCTCGCGCGCGTCCACGATATATTCCCTATAATATATATACATATATATATATATATCGTATATATCATATATATATATATATATATATATATATATATATATATATATTATGATTGTTCGCAGTGAGTGAGTTACATTACGTTATGATTGAGCCCGTGTGACCGCGTTTGTTTATTTACGACTGACATTAAATCGAAATGCAAATACGTAACTGCGCGTCCAATTAGGGAATAATTATGCACGCACGCACGTACGTACGATCGTAAATTAACTGCCGCGCGCCGTGCGCGAAAACTCGCCGAGTGCACGAAAACTCGGCGCTCGATCGTTTCAAAGGGGCCTCGGGATTTAGCAAATCACGGTCACGGCGATTAAATCGCAAATGCGAGCAGTCGACATTCGAGATTTTGCCGCGAGAACGCAAGAAACGACAAGTGTCGACGATGTAACGTGCGCGACGTGAGTCGCGCGAATCCTTTAGTTTAATTACGTTCTAATTGCGTTACATTAATTTTAATTACGAGCAGGAAAACGCCTACGTTTACGGCATTGACGTGGTTTTGTGCGCGAGCGACGAGTATGCGCCGCATTCGTTATTTCATTTACAAACACGTTGTCCCGTTTGCGGCGTTTTAAAAATTCGCTAACTTTTCTTCGGATGTGTCCCCTCCCCGTCCGTATTCTTTCGTTTTTCTAACGGTGCGTCTAATAAGATACAACGTAAATTACATTTTCTCCCTTAGCGAGAACACTGTGTACTCGTTATTAAGCTAGAAAATAAATGTACACTCGCACGTCTCGACTCGCGCGTGTGGATGTTAATAATAATAATTAAATATACGTACGTTTCACGTATAACGTGATTGACTTAGAGTACTCCGTGCCTACGGTGTTATTCATAGCGACGCATTCATACTTTCCCTGATCTGTTACATCGGATTCGATAATCTGTAAGGCACCTGAAATATAAAATGCGATATTCTCGAATAGCGTTCCTCTCAGGATTTTCTTGTCCAAAGAAAGATCAATGATGCGATCGCAGATCTCGTGTATGTCATGTAGTCAATGTGTCATGTGTCAAAATAGAGACAGTTTGAATTCGGCGTAATATGATTCTTGGAATAGACGTAAATAAGTATTGTGAAGTTTGAAGCGAGTCTTTCACAGGCATGCTTTGAAAACACAAGTTGTTTTCATTTTCAGCTAACGGATGACGCAGGCATCAACACTGATCGGCAAGGTCAGCGATTGATGGGGAGTAACCGTGCCTTCCCGATTGTTTGGTTTCGTACTCTTATATATGACTCCGTGATTGCGGAAAGGACATTGCGCCTCGGGCCGACGAACGACGCGCATACCGCGATGCAGAGTATGAGTGTCGGTAGTCGTATCGGTTAATACGCGTTTCTTTGTTCGAATCTTACTTGCGCGAGTGTTAGAGCTAGAGTCAGTGTCGTCGCCAGTGCTGCGGTGGAGTATCCGGGGATGCTGCGACGGAGTAACCAGAAGGAGGACGTCGGATCGAGAAGTCAGGATGGAGAGAGGACTTGGAGCGCGCCGAGAGACGTGGACAGCGATACATCATGGTATTCGAGGTATCTCGAATCATTATTATTACGCAGGATTTTTCTGATTTTAACGGACCTTATTCGAAGTAAGGACATACTCGAGTCGAAATTAGATCAGCATTCATAGTTTATCATCTGAAAAATGATAAAATAGCTTGAGATTTGATTATTCGTTAACCTAATTTCACGTAACATGAGTTCTACTTTTCTTTTCTCATAAAATACGAATGTCTATTCAAGCAAGGTTGCTGAGGCAAGCCAAGGTTTATGAATACAAATTTTTAATTATGTTCTCAATAAAAAGTTGCACATAATTTAGAAAACTATGAATAATGATCTTAGAATCTGATATAAATTTTACAAATGTTGATTTTTATTCGTCTAATAATGCTCAGATTGCTGTTTTCGTTTAGAATCTGCTAGAATGTCCGTTTCTCATTCTTGTTTATCTTTCTTTCTGTACCGATTCTGAATTAAAATCTCTATTAGTGAAACAGCATTATTAGACATAACCGTCGTCTTTGCCTTTGCAGCTTCAGCTCTTTTGAGAGCTACAATTCTCATCATTCTCATTAGAAAAAAGAAAAGAAAAAAAAGAGAAGAAAAAAGGAAAAAAGAACTTTAAGAATGATGAGAATAAAAAATGTTTTTCATCTCCCATTTCCTCTAATTCTTATATGATTATTTAATCCTTATATATTTATCTCACGCGCAGTTCTAACAAAGGCAGTTCTATTTACATTTTTATCTTTGTTCTCTTTCTTGCGCTGTTAAGCGAATATATAATCAACATCAACAAAAATTCCTCATTTAAATTAAGAATATAAGGATTAAGTACATATACATTATCGAGATAAACGAGTATTAAATAACTGCGGAATACGTCGCTATTGAAGACTCATCATGGACGAGACTGCGAGACTGCGAGCCAGATGTAACGTTCAGGTAGGACAAAGCTTGTTCACTATTGCGCATCTAGATATTCTGCATAGATTTTTCAAATTGGTTGCAATTTGCAGGATCAATGTAGAATTAATATTTCGACTCGGGAAAGACTTTTTTTTATCAAATCCTAACTTGTAGAAGTAAGTACCTGAAACATGAGAACGAATTGCCATTGCACTTGGACAATCTTCTGATACTGATTTCTGGTATTGATCGATATTCGATTTCGGTACTGATTTACTCTTTCATTTCTCTACAAGAAAAAAAAATTGAGACGACTCATTCATTTACCCGCGTTAATTTGATGAATAAATTAAATATTGATCGGTCTTCAATTTTTGGTACTGATTTATTCTCTCATTTCTTTATAAGACAAGAAAAATTGATACGAATCATTCGTTTATTCGAGTTAATTTGTTGAGTAAATTAGAGAGATAAATACCTGAAAAATGAGAACAAATTGTCATTGTACTTGGACAATATTCTGACACTGATTTACGGTATTGATCGATATTCGATTTTCAGTACTGATTTACTCTTTCATTTCTCTATAAGAAAAAAAAATTCATACGAATCGTTTATTTATCCGCGTTAATTTGACGAATAAATTAAATATTGATCGGTCTTCAATTTTCGGTACTGACTGATTCTCTAATTTCATTATAAGAGAATAAAAATTGATACGAATCGTTCTTTTATCCTACTTAATTTGTTGAGTAAATTAGTGGGGTAAGTACCTGCAAGATGAAAATAACTTGTCATTGCACTTG